GGGGGGGGCAGCTCGACAGGGGTGATTATTATTATACCATTGTAGTTTAAATACAGCGATGTATTCTGTAACATTTTAATTCGTTTCAGGTTGACTGGACTCACACCTGGAATGAGTTCAGCGGTTCACCGAAGCTAGTAGACCGAGGCGTGCAGATCTTTATCAAAGACGCCAGCAAGAAGAAGAAGCTCGGCGGTCTGTTCGGCAGCGCGGAGCAGTCGAAGATACTTCTTATAACGGATTATAATACAAAACAGGTACATTATCAGTTGGCTGCATATATTTTTGCAAAAGTATTTTTTCGTCCACTCAGCAATACTTCATTTATCCATCCGATATTTTCTCAAAATTGATTTCTTTCATTTGCAGGTGTTGTGCAACAAAATACACGAGCAGATCATGCAGTACGGAGTATAACGCGCACACGCGAAACGCTTGAGCTTTGAAAAAGAAGGAAGAACGACGGAGAAAATGAGTCTCTGCTTCCGAGACGCTTCGCGAGCGAGTGGCACAATTTCTATGCACATTTTCTACGGACACTATTTATAAGACTGATACTGCGTAGTCGCGACAGCCTAAGAAAGGACACCACTGTAGTATATTGAGGAAAGTTACCAATTTTTCAGAACCTTATCGTCGGTATTGCACTACCGAATGTAAAATATTAGATTGGTGCAACAAGTTTTAAACAAAATTATCAGTGTAACAATTTTGAATATCGATCTATTTAATAATGACAATCAAAAGTCACAAATTTTAATAGAGATTTTATTCTTTTATTCAAAAAAGGCAAACTGAAAAAGTTTATTTATAAATTTTATTTATAAATCGAAACTCCGTGCAAGAAACTTTTGTGTTGCACTAAACTAATAATTACAATATAAAGAAATTATCTTTTTTGAATTGATATTTATGCTTCAAACAAGTGAATCATTTAAGTCTCGAAAGAAAGAAACCTTATCATTGAGGACTGTAGGTTCACGAAATGGGATTGATTCGATCGGAAAAGAATCCAAGAATGTGACAAACGGATTGAAAAGTGAAACAGAATCCCATTCGGATACTTTTTCACGGCTCAAGTTGACAAGTACAGAAGATTATTCCTACATACTTGTTGAAGTATTACGCAGATATTTTATTAAAATCTTCGGTGAATGTTGTTTTACGGAGATTTCGCATCAAAACATTGCTAATTAATCACATAATAACGCGTGCGAGCGCCGTCGCGCTCGTCAAATAATAGTCATACGCTTGATCATCTTTCTTCCGACGACATATATATACGACTTGTTGACGAATTCGCTGAAGAATATCATTGACACATCGAGTAGGCACATTGTTAAGATGTAATAAATTTTATTATTGAGCTTTAACGCCTAACCATTGTGTGCACCGGCGGTACTTCTACCTCGTTTTGTTAACGCTGAAGTTATATATATTGATAAATTAATAAATCTATGAAATCAAATCACACAAATTGTATATACAATAATCAAACAACTTGATTTCCACAACGAACTTTTCCCGAATCGCTATTTTGTGGAAAGTTTTAATGCGAACATTTAGAAACATTGAGAAATAATTTTAGATGCGTGACGCAAGTTTATTATTTATATACATATATATATTTATATATATTGCTTTTTTTATTGTGTCTTTAATTAATTTAGATTTATTATTCTGTGGTAGCGTATAATAAAACTGTTACAAGTATCTTCTGTACTTCTTTGCGTGAATTATATCTTTTTCATTTATGCTTTTTTATTATACGATTATTATCAGAAATGAAATTCACAACGTATGCATTATTTGCATCTTCATTTGTTAATTGTGACTGCGTTGCGATTTTAGCGTACATTTAGACACATTTAGGTGCTGTTAGGTACATAGCAAAAATCAAGGGAAGCGAGAGACTTTATACACACCAGACGATTCTACTCAGCATACTCAATGCGGTCCGACGATCCCGAGCTCCAAGAACTGCAGCCGTCTCCGCAGCACATCCCGGGGCCGCCGCAGTTACCGCCGTTGATCAAAGGACAGAAGCTGAAAAGCGTGAGTGCGACGTTTTAATTATCCCAGCAGCAGATCTTGAGAAATTCTCATATCAATATTGTTAAGTTTCGACTCGGATTTATATCGCTCATTTAATAACACAATTAAGTTGTTTTTCATAGAATTTTCTTAAAGAAACATATTGTTTTCCATTCACAAATTATACATTTCTTGTGTTTTATTATTTTTTGATGAATAAATTGTATAATTTTCCTGATCAATTTTTTTGAAAATTTGTCGAAATTATCAGAGCCTTGTTTAATCCAATTTTTACATCAAATTGTTATCTAGGGACCGTACACCATCACTGTGACAGATGATATGGTAGCACGGAGAGAACGGGAGAACCTGGAGCTGTACAGAGCGTGGGTGCATGAGCAACGCAGACGGAACATGCTGTCACAGGAGGACGCCGACGACTACATAGGCGACTTCAAGGAAGTCCTGATTCGCAGGAGCTTCGTCCGCAAAGTTTTCTGCCTCCTCTCGTTGCAGCTGGCGTTCACTATCGCTTTTATAGCCGTCTTTATGTTCGTGTGAGTACAATTTATTAAATTCTTAATTCTCTTTATTCGACTTTCTCCATAAACTTCCAAAAGTCACTGTCATTTTTCAAATTATTTTTAGGCGTGAAGCGCAGTTGTTCATGATAGTGAACTGGTACCTGTGGATTGTCGCCATGTAAGATACATCACTTCTTCATTCTTTATATGCGAAAATGATTTCTTACTGCTTATATCAAGTGCCAAAAGATAAGAATAATTATTATTTACTTATTTTATTTAGTATAACTTTGTTAGAACCGAGTAGTGTATAAAAATTCGTACGTTATTCGATCATATATTGCTTACGGAATTAATTTCGAAAATTTATTTCGACAGGGTGTTCTTCATCGTCGCGTACTGTGCCATCGGCTTATCGGTGCACGCCAGGCGAACGCCTCCCTACAATTGCATATGCCTGTGCTTGCTGGTAACACCTCACAACGTATCCTTCTTCCCCTGCGACAATGGTAGATGCAAATTAAAATTAATTTAGTTCAATCCTTCTGGATATCGCGCCGTAGACGTTAGGAATGTCGTATCTGGCCGCCTTCGTCTCCGTATTTTATAGCATCGAGGTGATCCTCGTTGTGATGGGCATGACCGCCGTCGTCACGATGTTAATATCTCTTGTAGCGACATTCTCCAGGGTATTATTGCATTTTTTATCTTATACTTTTAATATATTTTCTTGCACAAACATAATTTTATCGCGGAGGCAATTCAAATTCACGTTCTCTTTAAATATATTCCTATAATTTGTTCATAACTCTTGTTATAATTGATTATTATAGTTTGACTTGACGATGAGACCAGGCTTGCTGATGGTGATCGGGCTGGTTGCCATCGTGACTATTTTCACGATGCTGATAATCTTCATCTTCACTCACATAATGATTATGCGTTTAATAATTGCCATCATCGGAACGCTCCTGTTAAGCTTGGTCAGAATTTTGAATTGTTATAGAAATTATTCAAAAGTTATTTAAAATATTTTCTATCAAGTTTTTGTAATAATTTTTAGGATGCACGAATAAATAGATAAATAAATCAGCAATGATTAAATACTAATCAAACGTTTTATATATTTCTAGTATTTATACTTCGACGTGCAGACAATTATGGGTGGACGCAGAATAGAATTGGGTCCCGACGAAGTCGTCTTCGCAACGACGCAAATTTATGTTGATATCGTGCTGCTGTATCAGTACTTATTGATGTTCATGGGATTCTTCCATCATTGACAAAATAACGCTGTCGATTTATATGTCTCATTGGTATATGTATACATTTATATTTTCTTATGTACATGTATTATTATAAATATATATATAATATACTATTCTTTTATTGAGATTATTACATTTTAGATAAAATTTATTAGATTACATAGGTTTTACATATAAGCAATATTTGGAACATAACCAGATTTTGAACTGCTCTTGAGTTTTCACGTTACCGACAATTGATAATAGTATTTGCATTACCTGCATCGCCAGCCATGCGAATTATATGTTTTGAGTGCAATTCGTCGCAGTTTTAAGCGGATCCTAGAAAAATTATGTGATTCTTATTGTGCTGTGAATAAATTTCGGGAAGCAACTGCAGGAAAAGCTCTATCGCGTGTCGTACGCGTAGAGAGAGATAACGATTCTCCGTTAAGAGAAGCAAGTGTGAGTGATATTATAACCCTCATTAGTTTCTCATTGTTCCCGATTGTATTTTTCAACTTATTCTTTGGTTTTTGGTAATATTATTTGCAATATCGATGGCATTATTGATTTATAATAATATTCCTTTATTAGAGACGAGTCATTAATATTTTTTTCTTTCAGGTTGTATGATTAACTTGTTACATGAAATGTCAAAGTTGAAGTATTGAAATCTTATATAGAGACTTTTTTCTAATTTACTTGTATTTTGCAGAAAAATGGAGGGCGATCGATTAACCGGCCCAGATAAAAAGGAAGATGAGAATGTTGAGGCTAAATCTAAGGAAATTCTGGGCTTAACCACCACAGCAGCTCTGGACACATTACATCGTGATGTCAAACGTGTTCTGCAGGAGTATCAAGAGGATTACAGGAGAAATAAGTAGTATCTTGTACAGCGACTGTGATTATTTCGAGCAGAAACACAATATTTATGTATTTTGATTTATATTTCGATAATTGTTTTCGATAATCCAGGAAGTACAGAGCTTGGTTGAAGGACACTTTACATCATCGCAGCCAATACACGACGCTTTGCTGGACCTCGGCGATCGCTCTATTAATTAATGCAGTTATCCTTATTGTCACATTCTTCGTACTCAATGAAACATGGTGCGTTACGTGTCGATACGCAGATTTATGCATAAAATTTTGGCTACACCTCTGATCTGTCGTGTTTGCTTATCAGATAATAGCTCCACTAGCAATGCTCACTAGCACTCGTGTTTCATGAATGAGTGTGCCGTTGCAGGTATTCTACACTGCCCTATGATGGACTGATAATCTGTTGTTTAGTAGTATTGAATTTTATTTTAGTGGTGTCGGATAACAGATTACGACACAAGGAGATTCCTCATAGAGTAAAGATTCTTCTCGACCAACTCGACGGTGGGTATTTCACAGATTTTTACAATTTGTCGCTTGACGACGTTACAGATTATACAAATACGCGTTTCTTCAACATTGCAGTTGCGCGTGCAACGTGTCGATGGAAACCGAAGAACTATCCGCAATTATGCGGTCCGCAATCTCCCTGCTTGACTCTGCAATGGACATATCGTGACGGCGAAATAGTCAATTTGCCGTGGGCGCTGCTGGTGGCCGGTGACATAATCGTGATGAAGCCCGGCCAGCAAGCGCCCGGATATTGCGTGCCGTATGATGTACGTAGCTTGGACTTTTTCCAGCGCATAACGCTGCAGCTATTTTAAATTTAATTCTTCCGCTGTTTTGAGAATTCTGAATTAAATTCTTCGCGTTGATGGAACTTTCAGGATCCGGAAGCGCCGGTTCTGCACGCCAGAGAGGCTTACACTCCGCAGGTGCACAGCGCCACCGACATCTTCTCCACGCCGCAGGCACGCGTGCCCCTGAAGAACAAGATCTACAAGCTCCAGGAGACGCCGTACTTGATGAACCTGCGAATGGCGTTGGACCAGGCGCTCGACCGGCCGGTCACCTATCACAATCGCAAGCGGCACCTGCTGATGATCTGCTGCATCGAGCATCTGGCTTATCCGATACTCCTGATCGTCGTTCTTGTGGTCAATCTACTTCGCTACTTGTATCTGGCGGATTACTTCAGTACCGGTCACTGGAGCGAGATGTTCCTGCTGCAGCCGATCGCTGTGAGCCTCCCGTTGCTGCCGCTGGTGTTCCCCGTCTGCTGGATATTTCTCAATTGCTTCGGCATGGCTCGCTTCAAGGCGTTGTTCAAGCTTTACTTATCTGCGAAGAAGCTACAGGTATTATTATCTATCTTTTTCTATATTCTTCGAAGTACTTTTTAATTGCAAATTTGGGAAACTGGAAAATAGTTGAATTTATGTCTTATAATAATAATAATTCTCTAATAAGTTTTTTTAAGATAAAATTTAAAATAATGCTATTTTGAAGGTTATGAATTATAACATAAAAATCTATTTTTCTTTCTTCTCGAATTTGACTTTAAATTATTATTTGAAATAATAAACGAGGGAACTTAGTTTGTAGATCCTTTCGAGGACGCGGATATCAGTGGTCCCAGTCATCCGGATGTAGTGTACAACTGGCTTGAACTCAAGGATTATTTTTTCGACATTCTTTCTGGCAAAGAACACATGATGTCGAGATCTGCAAGCATTCTGCACGTTTTGGGTTCTGTCACTGTAAATATTTGAGTACTGCTATCGAGTAAATGTAATTATCGATCAATTGCGTAACATTTCGTGTATTTTTGCAGGCATTGTGCTGCGTCGACAAGAAGGGAATTCTCTCGTGGCCTAATCCTACAGCGGAGAAAGTGTTCTTCCTGCGTAACGCTAATAACACCTTGTCGCCGAGTTCCAGGTAATTATTTTGTGTTATAAAAATCCTCAGAAAAAAATCTAGTAAGAAATTTTTCTTTGAGACATAAAGAAAATTCAAAGTTTTGTAAAATCAATTTGTAAAAATGCACAAAGGTGAATGCAATTCTATTATTTCGCAGCACCGGCAGCGTGGACAAAACAGCTGACAAGAACCCGGAGTCGGAAAAGTCGAAGGCGAACTCCAACAGAACGTCCTACGTGCAACATGGTAAGAAAAGATGCGAGTAGGCGCGAGCCCGAGTGCGCGACGAATAACGGGACGCTCCGACGCTTCGCAGATATGTCGCACTCCACTGCCGAAGTGTTGGATCTCACTCACGATCATGCGCTGCCGTTCCGGCTGCAATTCGACGATCACTCGTGGCGGCAACACCTCAACTCTCTCAAGCCGCTCGGTCTGACGATCCTTCTCAATACATGCAACATGGAGACGCAGGAGCACTACATGCAGTTCTGCTGTCACGTCACCTGCGAGGCACTCTACAACGAGAATCTGGTCCCGGTAACAAACAGACGGTACGGCGTCCTTAATTCTTATCTTGCGCGATGTTGATTTCTTCGGTGTTGGAGTGATTGAGAGAGATAAATGTTTCTGCAACAGATGTTTGTGCGAATTGGCGAAGCAGATCGGCTTTCAGGATCAGGCGCAGAAGATCTTTCAATTGGAGCAGCAGTTATCTACATTTAGACATGTTGTAAGTGTGATTATTAATTTGTCACTCTAGAAAATTCAGAATGCTTCTTTTGGATAGTTACATTTATTTGTTAAAAAAATCTTCGCTAGATTTCGAAGTCTTCGAAGATTTCGAGTCTATTCTGACGATCAGATTGCATTAATAGTCATGGAAAGCTCGTTGGATTGAACTTTGTCAAAACTGTTTTTAAGAAAATGGACAAAACTTGTGAATGTTTCGACAGCAACCGGAAATGGTCAGGCGGGACATAAAGTTCGCGCGGTCGCTGAGCATCGCGACCAAGTTGAAGTTCCCGTTTCCTCACATGGTGGCCGTGGTCGTCAAGGAGCGCAGCGGCGGCGGTCTGCAACTATTAACGCAGGGAACGGCCGACATAATCCTGGATTCGTGCATCGAGTACTGGGACGGTCACGATCTTTGTCCTCTTTCCGCATCGGACAGGTGCATCTCATATTTTTTTTTTAAATTATTCTGTATAATTGTACAACATTCTTAAAATTGTTGATAAAATTCGAGGAACATCTTGTATACAACTTTCTTTTCCCTTCTTGCAGGAAAAAGGTTCAAGACTTCTATCAGAGAACGAGCCTGACTTCGTACTGCACCGCGTTCGCGTATCGACCATTGACACGCGCCATCAGGGACAAGATGTCCGAGATATATCTGGAGCTTCCGGCGGACAGCAAGCATCTGTACACGCCGCACAGGAGCCCGACCCCCTTGCCCTGGGACTTCAGAAACGTTCTTGATCCCAGAGTGCGAGGGATACTCGGACAGTTTCATTCGACAGGTTTGCTTTAATTTCTTTTTGTATTATAAAAAAGAAAATTTGATAATTTAGTATGTTTTCCAGCAAAAGACACAAGTTGACACAAGTCGACACAAGTATCACTCTGTCTTTGTTCGATATTCAATGAGCAATAGAGAGAATAATACTTTTGTGTCGCTTGTGTCTCTTGGTGGAAAACTACCTTAATCAACAACAGCAGGAGGTTAGAGCGAACGAAATGCGATCGCATATTAGTCTTCAATTTTGTTTACTTTTTATTTTAATTTCACTTTTGATTGGAAGATGGGGTTTTATTTGGTAAATCAACTAGGAAGTAAAATGGCCTTTTTCCAGATTCTTTATTGTGCAATGATAATAAAGACGACGACGTCAGCGATGTCGAAGGCTGTTTTGAAGTTCAGTGCAATCAAGTTTTCATCGGGATGGTCACCATGCAATACCAGGCGCAAACGGATATGGTGAGAGAGACCGCGCCGTTTGTTAATAATTAATCAAGATGTCTTTAACTAATAATTTAAAAATATGCCATATTTCACATTCGATTATAGGTACAGTTGATCGAACAGCTGGACAGAGCGTGCATAAGGTTCGTTCACTTCAGCAAGGAGAACGAGCTGCGCTCGCGCGTCTTCTCGGAGAAGATGGGCCTGGAGAGCGGCTGGAACTGCCACATCTCGCTGCTCAGCGAGGGTGCCAGGTATTCGCGCGCTAAACACCGAGATATACCGTCGCCGTTTCTCGCTATCTTAATGTCTCTCGAGTTTCTCATATGGGGCATATCCGCGACTTTTCTTATCGCTAGTGTCTCCGATCCGACCCTTTTTAGTCCCAACATCGCAGTTGCATCATTGAAAAACATTTTAATTAACTTCTCAAGTCATCAACCACCATTATTGCTTCTTCTTTTTTTTTTAATTAAAAATTGAAAAATTAGAAAACTAATTAATTTTCTAAGTCGGCAATCGGGATTGTTTTTTCTTTCTTTCTAGAACGTTTAAAAAAGATTAGGAAAGCAGAATGATCGAAGGGGATTGAATTCCAGGATCGGACATGCACAAAGAAAAGCTGCGCGCGTATTAATAATGCATTAGTAATTCTCTGATTCTCATTAGAGCGCGCTACCGTGAAGCTCGACTGTAAAATGTGTCCGTGTATATTGCAGGAGACAGCAATGGCTGGAGAGATATCCGCATATGCCCCCGTCGTATATGTTTGTCTATACGTCTTTTTTACCTTTGTATCGTTAATCTCGACTTGCATGCTGACCGTTGCGCGGGACGTCTCGGGGAATAATGCTTTGTCCGTGTTAGCAAAACGAATTCATCTTCACGAAACTTCTCCCTTCGAATTCTCCGAGTCGTCCCGCGTCGTGTTTCTAATGTCAAACAAGATAACGCCACGACCATTTTGGCTGCAGTGTCCTAATACTTGATATATGTGTACTAATATCTCATTTTCAATTCTGGGTATCGAATCGCAAATTATCATTCTTTTATTTCTCGCAAAAAATTTACGATAATGTGTTGCTATTTCCATGATATATCAGCCGCTCAGAAGTCGAACTGATTAGCTCCATCAATTAATTTCATTTATGAAAAGTACAAGCGTCAATTGTGTACTAAAATTCTAAAAAAAAGTGGAGTTAATCAGTTTGGCTGATGAGCGACTCATCTGTCTAATTGCCAAGATAACTTTAATCAGATTGAGATCTCGCGATTGCGACTCGACGCCCGCGTCAAGCGACGCGAATACACTCGATATACTCTTCACGCGGGTGAAGATATACGCCACACGTTCATGTATACTCCAGTGTAACTAACACACACGATGACAAACATCAGGTCCGAGAGTCCAGTGGGTTGGTGGGTGAGCCAGGCGGCAGCCATGTCCTCACCCACTCCCTCACCCACGGCCCAATCTCATCAGCCTAATTACTACTCCTGCATGGACGAGGCCAGCCACTTGCTTAATCGTGTCTTACCTCGGTACGTTACACCGATTACATGCAGAAATAAGCTTACTATAAAGTTTCTTTGCTTTGCTTTTCGAAGTGAAAGAGAAAACAGGCGATGTATTAACCGTAAGATACATTTAGAACTTTTAATCAAAATTCAAGTAGCAGAGAAATGGTTTCACGATATTTAAATCAAGTGAGAAAGTTGAAGAAGGGAAAGATTTGATGAAAAATACAGAGCCGGATAAATTGGTCTTAAAATGGCATTCTACGGTTGGTCGGTCGCGAAAAATGTCTAGCATGACGAGAAAATCTCTGTTGTGAAAGCTTCGCGGAGTTCGCAAGGACTTCCGCGACCTAACGCAGTTTCTTGGCTTCTCCGCATTGATGTGTGTCTATCGATCGATTATTGTAAATTAGCGGAGGCGTGTGGTTGAGAGTGTTCATTGGAGTGTCCAATGCCTTTTCTTCGGTTTAGCACCAATTTGAACAACAGCCGGGCGATGAGCATGTCGGCGCCCAGCGCCATCAACACGGACTTCGCGACGGTGAAGTTTGACGACGAGACCACCGAATGGAACAACACCGTCGGGACTTCCCAGGCCAAGAGCGCCATGAGTCACAGGTAAAGCGATATCTAAGTGTGAAATGCAATTTTAATTTGCAATGATTACAGAATAATCATAGTTGATTATACAGAATTATGGAATATTAATTTGGACAAGTATCATTCTTTCAATTTTTATTTCCAATAATTTTTCACATGCCTAAAAATTGACAAAATACGCGACGTGTATAACGCTACATCAATTATAGAGAGCAGGATACGGTAAGGAGCGAGGATAGCGTCCTGGTGCAAAGCGTCGATCTCGGATCGGGTCAGGAAGCCTGGAGGTCCTTGAGCTGCCTCACCGATAGCACCGAGCAAAGTGCGCCGGTCAACTTCGACTTATCAAATAGGGTACGCAGATTTCCCATTTCTTTTAAGCTTGATAAACGATTATGGCAGTTTTTGTTGACTTTTTCCAAACGCGCAGGCCAAATTGCCAAGAGGAATAGACAAGATACGCCCGCATATCGAACTCATAGACAACGTCCCGCTACTCGTGTCGCTGTTCACCGACTGCAACACCACGGTGACTCGGGAGATGCTGCACATCATGCAGGACTACGGCGAAGTGGTGTGCGTGCTCGGCTCGTCCGCCAACGCTGAGAATATGCCGATCTTCATGCAGGCCGACGCCGGGTAATTCCACTTGCAATCTATTGGCGATGTTTGGGAATTTTTTCCCCGAAAGAAAAATTCCGACGCAAACTCCGTACGATTTTTGTTCAACTCGAGATCGATCAGAGTGTTGCGAATCAATTGCAGAGTCGCGGTGGAACCGCTTTACCCACAAGTATGCCAGAAAATGCCGGTATTGGTGCCCACCACGGAGGATCAAGGCATCTCTCCCGTCGATCTCAGCCGTGCGCTGAACTCCGTCGCGTGCTCGTTGAGCGTGAAACGTGAGGATCCTGTGGCGATCTTCCGTCTTATCATGGAGGTATGAAGCGAATTCTAATTTTCCATAGGCGCGAGGGATGATTTTCATCCTTATAGGGATCCTAAAGTGATCTGTTTTACCTATTTTTTTCAAATACACTTAACTTTTTTTGGCTGTGTAGAATGAAAAGTCCTTTTCTGTAAGTAAAGTACATATGCTAATACACTACGGATGGTCAATTTGAAAGGATTTTTCAAGCCAAAAAAACGATTTACGAAAATGGAAGGTAAACAGAGACGTATCTGTTTTACCTTCTATTTTTCGTAAAATTCGTTTTTTTTAGTTAAGAGAAGTTAAATAAACAATTTTTTCTCTTGCAGGCTCGTCATTACATGAATAGTCTATCGAACACCATGCAATTCTGGCTGTGCTGCTCAGCTACGGTCGCGTTCACGAGCCTATTGCCGGCATTCTTAATGCTGCCGCCGCTGTTCTCCATCGAGCAGGCGCTCTGGCTGGCGTGCTTGATAATTCCCACGCTATCGGTGCCTCTGACCGTCACGCCGATAGACCCGACGATAATGCAACGCGCGACCGGAAAAAATCTGTGCACAGTCAACGGAGAGGTGAGAAACAGTCGATTTGGATTTCCTTCTCGCGTGACAGCTGACGAAAAGGACTGAATCGAGCTTCTATGATTCTTAATAGACCAAATTGCTTTCGTACTTGTATTGTAGATTAATTTTAATTTATTTAATTAATTTTGAAACTTATTTTTCATGTAAGTTTACGCAGTTTGAACTGTAGAAACTAAGCTTCATGAAAAAGAGTCGCTCTTGTTCTTTTATTTTCTTTTTAATAACGAGGAAAAAAATTGCCTTTTTTTCTCTAATATTTTCCGTTGTCACAGAATTATTCGTTACTCTATTTTTCTTCTTAATGTATACTCTTGGTATTTGAGAGAAAAATTATTAAAACAGTTCTATATTGTCATTCAGTTTAACTAATTCAAACAGGCTTTTGAAATTTAAGAACGAAATTGATTTAATATGTTGTAAATACTATAAGATATATATATGTTACAGGTCGCGTTGTTCGTTCTGTGGTGCTACGGCGGCAAGTTCCTGCCGACGGTGATCACGGTGATCCTATCGTATTTCGTCTCGTTTCTAACGCTTTGCCCTTTCTACGCACCAAACTCCAAGTGCCTGTACATATATCCGGAAATGAAGAACACATCTTGGGGCGGCTGGGACAACAAGCCAATTGTCTTCCTGGTCGTGCAGCATTTCGCTCTCACCCTTCTGGTTCTGCATCTTGGTAATCACTCATACTTTTTTTTTAAACATATTAAATTGTTGTAAAAGAGTCGTTTACGCTAAAAAAATTGCTTCAATTTTTGAGTCTTGTCAATTGAAATAATCACAACTGACTTCAAATTCGTTTTAATTCTCTTTAAAAAACGAGCAAATTTTATCCAAACAAAATTTCACAGAAAACATCTTTTACATGAATTAATTACAACTTGGAAGTTTATCAATATCCACTCTTTCTTCCAGTTACGATATCTGCCGGTTTTGTGCACAGAGAATACTCGATATGGAGGAAAAATCCTATGACGAATTGCACCTGGTGCATCGCCGTATTTATCGTGTAAGTAAAAAATTTAAGTAATAGCAGCGAGAGCGAAAGAGAGAGAGAGCAGACTTGGCGCTCTCAAATCCTTTGAGTACAGATTAGATTTGTTGCATTATTATCGCAGACTGTGCGTGCAAGCGGCATTCTCCGGCATGGCGTTCCGCAGATTTTGGATAGAAGAGGGCAAGAAAATCGACAACTTTCCGATGCACGTGCCGCTGTTCTTTCTGCTCTCCGTGCCGCTGACTTTCATCATTAACGAGCTGATAAAATGGCAAGAGATTAAGTAAGTCTTTTTCTCATATCGCTCGCAATTTATGTAAATTCTTTGAAATGAACGCTCTGTTCTCTTTTAGAGTGAACGTTAGATACCAAAAGAGGGCACGTCTGGAATTCGGCACGAAACTGGGAATGAACTCGCCGTTTTAATTTAGCTCGCAGCACTCGTTTTTCGACGTCTTCAAAGTATCAAATGTGTTTTGTGAAAACAAAAATACGGGTATATACGTTAAGTGTTACATTATTAAGTATTGACGTACTGACTATAATCGATTCAGTTGCTGCAAGAGCTTGAAAAGGAAAAGGAGAGTTCGAAGGAGTTTTAAGGGAAAGAAACTCGTGCCAGTTACAGCGCCAAATATTGCCAAACAATAGATTCCGGACGGAACGCCGGTATTTTTCTATAGCCACGCGCGTATTTACATTTTACGATGGACGGACAGAGTCATCGATCACGAGCTTAAACATTCGCTGTGTGTGAAAATCTTCACGCGATACACATTTCGCGAAACCGTTTCACTCGTGCGACGCGGTTTCCTCGACAGCGAGTCATTCACATACAAGAATCGTCGGGCCGCATTATTTTTCTCGCTCCCGATTCTGTCACAATTCAAGATGTCCGATTGAGATATCGTCGATTCTTAACGTTCAGACACAAATAATTTTGCAATTATTGTTGAAAATTGTTTCGTAGATTTTTTTTTTTAATTCTAAACAGCAATGCGAGTAAGTACCTGATGAGTCCGGGACATCTTGTATTCGACGTTTAGTGCTATCTAGAATACTTGTACATAAAGATGTTCCTATCGATAGAGCGATTTGTTTGCGCCGGTTAGAGATTTAGCGGGAATTTTAGCGCGAATTAAACGTATTCTGCGAGATCGTGTCTATATGTCTGCACTGGTGCACCCGTTGAAATTCGTGCCCTATCAAGCAGGAGTCTCGCCGAGTCTTACTTTGGTTGTGAAAAATAGCGCTCAGTCTTAGACGATTTCCCCACCGACGAAGTGGAGTACGACGATTTTCGGTATTTTCCGAAAATACGATTTTAAACGGTATTCCGCTCTCGAGTAGCGAATTTATTTTATTAATGAATTTTTATTCATATGTAATGTATCCTGATTAGTTCTAGATTTAGTTCTCTGCAATAGAGTGGATCTTTTTTTAAGGCGGTAATAAAATCTTCGTTTAAGCAACGTTTCGTGGCGATTCGATTGGCTGTATCCATTGGAAGTCATTTCCATAAGCCTTCGCTGAAAAACCGATTGAAGGAAGAGAATTGAGAGCGAGTATAAATTTAAACATTTTTTTAATCGAAAATACTACATATATTTTGCGCTAGTTTCTGCAGCGTTGCATGGATTTAATCTTTGTGCGATGCGCAATCGGGAATGATCGCGGCTTGCAACGTGATCACGATCAACGCCAGCAGCACGCTGCAGCACATTATCGCGGAATGCACCGCCTCGTACAACAATTTCGGCGAGAACACCGACCACACGAACAGATGGTGACGCTGGCAGGCAACGACGATCATGTAAACGATTATCGTCAGCAGTCTCCACGCGATGTAAGTTCTGCTCGTCTGCACGACGTCCATGCTACAAATACGAGCGATCGACCGTTATAATTCGTTAAAGATTGCAAAGATTGCAGAATTCGCGAAGCGCTTACCGATGCGAATGTCGCTGGTGGACGAGCAGGAAGTAAGCCAGCACGGGCGCGGAATAAGTATTGATGACTAGATAAATGCCGGTAATGAAGGGCACGTAGGAACGCAGACCGACGTAACCCGCAGCGATGTCTACGCTTGCGAGACTATTGGAGTTTCCCTGAAACATCAATCGTACACATAGTATATATTTTATATATTTTTTAGTATATTAATTTTATTAATTTCTTAATGAATTTGTTGAGCAAATTTCTAATTATTATTATTTTTTTTTTTAACAGTTCTCACACATAAATTGAATATCCACCTGATAGAAATAAAACACATTGCCCAGCCAGCAATGCACGAAGACGCCGAGATCGAGCAGATCGTTCTCCCACAACGCTTCGTCGATCGTCGAGCTCGCGATGATCTGCACCGGCAGTAGGATCACGTTATAAGGTTGGTGCAGCATCGCCGAGATCATCACCCAAGTGTTGATGATGCAGCGCAGCGCCGTGCTCGCGAAACGCCGTCTGTTACGTCTAATCGCTGATATCGCTCGATACCCGTAGCACACGACAAGCAACGTCGTTATCCCCCAAAACGTTTGTACTTCGTATAATCCACTGCAAAAACATTTAATAATTTGAACAAGCTTCCACTCGCTTGCCTTTACGAAACAGAAATTAACTTTCATCATCGAAAGGTATTTAATTGATCGGAAGAAACTTCCTTCGGTTTTATCGATTAAGATGAAAGGCAAAAGTCCAAGGATGCTTCCTGATCAATTCGATACATCGATTATTTATACCTCGACGAGAAGTAGAATGGAATTTTCAGGACGGCGCCGTTCGCCATGTGGCGAAGATAAATGCACACCGTGCCGGCCGCGGTAAGAATCGACGTCTGCCATCTGTACTTCTTATCCTCGTATTGGTGAGCGATCCAGGTCAGAAGAACGAGTGCTAAAAATTGGTATCGAATTCAAAAACTACGCCATGCGCGCGCAGCACAAAGGGATTCGCGAATCGGTACTCATTGGTATTTAAACGTAGTTTACCGGTTAGAAGCAGGAGCGTCATGCCGACTTTGCTGTCGTCCTCCTTCAACCAGCGCGCTATGTCGGGCAGATGGGCCCACTTGTCACCGGTGCTGTTTAACTTGCGCAGCACTCTGTGCCCTATCAGTAGCAACAATAGCTTAGCGCAAAGTTCTACGTGTCGCGGACGCCTAGAATCGCCGCAACTTGGATCCACCCCGGTTCGTACCCTTACGCTCGTAAGATTACTATTATATATTACATTATTAGTCGACTTTTAGGAGAGATTCGGCCGTGAGACGCGACGGATGCTCAAATCTAATTTGAGCCTTATTGTTTTTCTAGCAATTTATGTGACGGATAAATTAATGGCTGTAATGTTAGTCATAGATACTTTTTAATTAGAATATTAATATTTTAAGTAATAAATATTATTTTATGAAACTTGAGAATTTAGTGCGTGACTTAAGCGACTTTTGTGTTGGAAGAGAAAATTCTACTCACTCTCGGTGGTGCGCGAGCAGCCTCGCGCAGCAGTGATACAACAAGCACACAATCGTACTCGTCCAGAAGAAGTACCACGTCTGGTGCTCCTCCTCGATGAAGCTGCTGCCGGCGAGGCTCACCACGTGCAAGAACGCGCCGATTTGAAACGCTCCGCGTAACTTCGATTCCTTAAACTGTGGAAATCACCGGAATTTTCGTTATTACGAGTGCGATATTTATTGCAAATTTATATTTTTTGAAGTTTGCAAATTCTAAAGTTTCTCACCTCAATTAGTGATAAATGACTAGTTGCACAAAGATCGCAGTTTATATACAAAATGGCGATGACAAACAGGAACAACGAAGCTTTGAGTATACTCATCGGGTGGACTGAAACCATGCTTTTGGGACCGCAGAAATAATAGATTCCTATGCAGAGGAGAAAGCGCACCAGGAACTGAGACGTAGGCTTTTTGTAAGTCGTCCAAGCAACGTTTTGTACAAAAAACAAAATTATAAGTATCTAAAAAAAAAGACAGAATAAGATTTGTTAATTGCTTAGATTTATATTTCTTAAATTCAACAAGACTGTTTTCAGATTTCTTAAGTGTGATTTGGATATTTTTTCATGATTTCTCAATTATCTAGTTTTTATATTGTTTTATTTTATATTCCACTAACTTGACACAGGAAAAGCATGGCGATGACCATTGGACGGAAATCATGCTTGACCATGCTGCTGATTAGAGCGTCCTTCATCTCCTTAAGGATCGCGTTATAAGACAAGACGATATTCTCGACCATCCCGCTTGGATTGTCGCTCGCCTTCAACCAAGCGGCGTGCAGCTTCACGGTGTTCAGATACTTCCGGTGTACATCTGAAAAATATCGTATAAAAAAGAAAATGTCACAACAACGATCATCTCTCTTTACTTCTTTTTCACTCGGGATGTTTTACAAGATGTGTTAAAGGTAAGATCAATTGGAGGGATGTTACGATATAATTTTCAAATCTTGAAATCTTACATTATTGAATTGCTGATTTCTTGAGTTCTTCTGCCGAGTTTCTTACCTTCTCGGCTACTCCGTTTTAATATTCGCGAATAATTTCTTAAATCAAATGCTCACACTCAATCTGCGACTCGCGGTGGGCGAGCTTCCGGAAACGATCGAACACCTGCCTCGAGTTGTAATAGAGCAGAAAAAGTCGCTTGGCATCGCCGAGGCTGTAGATGCTGTCTAAGAACACAGAGCCGAGGTTCGTGGAAGGAATAGGTAAACCGAGGACGGCCGACAGTGTCGTCGCTACGTCGAGCTGTTCGACCTCGATCGGTTCGCCGTTCTCCTGGCGAGAACAGCGAGTTTTCCCGATCGCGACGAACGGCACTGTCGTCTCCTGCGGCGTCGAGCCGCCGTGGCCGCCAGAGTCCTTCATCCCGTGATCGCCGCAGACGACGAAAAGCGCGGGCGTTCCGTCGTTGTTCTAAAAGAGAGCAGCACGTTAGCAATATTTTATTACGCTCTAAGTAAAATTATGACAAATTGAAACAAACGAAGAGAATGTAGAATTTTTTTCAAATACTAACCCAATACTGTACTCTTCTAGCTATCTGAGCGACGATCTCATCCATTTCTTGCAGTTTCGGTTTAATTGATGCGCCGAATGGACCTTCAATGTGACCGATGTGATCGAGTCCGAGGTAATGGAGAATCATCACCGACCAATCATCGTGATTCAACTCGTCTTCTATGTGTCGAGTCACGTTGTCATCCACCTGTTTTGCGAAATGAGCGATTTTATAAGTAATTGGTCTTTCAAAAAGAATTTTATCCTATAGATTACAGATTCCAGGAACTTTTTGAAGCCAATTACCTCTGTAAAATCCGTAACGAAAAACGAAGTGGTGCCATCGTGACGTTCGAATACTGATGGAAATAGAGAGAGCCAAGTGTCGTCTCCGTAAAACACTAGTACGTGCTCATGCTTCTTAGCTTGAAGCAACAAACTGTCGCTGTACAGAGGTTTACTGCCAAAGTTCAGTACTATGTCCACAAAATTCGGCACTGTACCGGTCATCATTGCCTGCAAAATCATTTTTGAGAAATAAATAATAGTCAATTATTTAATATTTCCAAATGAATTATTTCTAACATTAATTTTACTTTTATTCTAGGCATTGTCACGGTTGGTGATTGCAACTTGGCCTGCAATAAGCATCCGGAAGAATTCGCCAATAGACTACTTGTCATTGGCATGGCATCTTTTCCTACTGGACCTGCGACAAAGTCCCATCTCAGCCCATCAATCACCATAATTATTAATCTTGTTACCATCGGCGAATATAACGAATGTTTCTTTACACTGAAAAGAAGCATAATAAGTATATGACAATAAATTTTCTGGATCAGCAAATAATGGATTAAATTGTGCTTTCAAATGCAACAATATTTTTCAACAATCTAATAAAAAAATGGTATAGTAAGCAGTCACTAAATTTTTAATGTTGAATCAGAAATACATTGATTTAATAGTTTCAATTTTCACATTAAAAATATTAAATAAATATATTTATTTATTCAATGAGTAAAATTTGATCAATTTGATTTAATTTTTAATTCACAATTTAATAAATAAAGATAACTTTTATAAGACCTAAATGACAAGACTGACAATTAAATGGATTGATCTGACAGCATTTATTTCAATAAATAAAGTTTATGCTTTATTAATGTATTAATAATCTAATGTAAGATAACATTATTACATTCACATTATTAACAATTAGGCATATATTTCTTATCATACACAGAAATGTAATTTTAGGTTAGATGAGATAAACTTACTTCACGTCACCGACGTATCCTGGTACATCCAGTTGCGAGGCGACAGCATCTCCGTGATGGGCGATTGGGAAGAAACCGTACAAAAATAGAGCGATAGAAATCAGCGCAATTAACAACACATAAAATAACAATACATTGTTTTTTGCGAGCATTTTATCACATCTTCAACAATGAAGTACACCGGGGCTGTGTTCGGCGAGCGCGCTATCGGCCCTATCGCATCATTCTATCTTTATCGTTCATTGGACATAAAACAAGGATAGAATGACACAATAGCGCTGATAGCGCGCTTCCTGAACGCAGCCCGGCTATCGAATTCAACTCCTTCCAATTCTGTCGTCTGCTTATCGACTTATCGAAATTCTTCTTTTGCGGGAAAGTTTAAAAACTGCTTTCAATTGGAACAATACACTTGCTATGTCAAAGAATATTACACACTAGATATTTTTTACATGTGCGACAGTTTTCTTATATTGCTATAGTGTCAATAATATTTCCGATAATGATATTTTGCTGCCAAATACTTTTTCAGAATACGTTGCTTTGTTTACCTAAATGTATTTCATAAAGCACGTTGCAGGCACATTTTTCGCCTTTATCCAGAAAAATTGAGTATGTAAATATTTGTTTTACTGTCTGTGTACGTATATTTCATATTTGTGTAATGTATATGTAATATATATTCGTGTTATGTAACAATATAATATACATAGATAGTTAAACGTTCGTACAGAATCAATGATTATAAAATTATGTCTTTTTCACGTTGGCAAAGTCGAACGGTGCAAAACGGATGGACAGAAATTTATTTTGCGTGAACTAGAAACAGTTTTTACTATCGCACATGTAAATGAAATATAATTTTCATATACACGCGATGAAGTGGTCTCGCAATCCGTCCGTCACGACCACCCTATGTAGCGGAGCTCGAACACAAATCGGCCGACGAGAGAGCGATCAATAAGTGGAGGCGGACTGTTTTGTCGGCCACCTCAACGCAACGCAAAACGCGTCTCCGTGGCAGAGCCGTGTTCCGCGAAACGCGCGTGAATCATGTTTCGATAAAACTGTCTCCGAGTGCCCGGAGGTTCGCCTTCATCCACCGAGAAATAAAGTAAGCGCATAAATATGAACGGGAAATAAATATGAACGTTCGCAACTCGCGCAAGCTTGCAATTTGGCGAATCTTCGAAGATTGAAGCATTCGGATTCTCGGATTGCTGGATTTTCCATTTTCTTTGGACTCTCAAATTTTGAGAATTCGATAAATTGAATACTTCAATTTCTTGTTTTTATGTTTTTCCTCTTTTTCTCGCGGTGTTAATCGCCTTACAAAGCGTAATTGAAAAGCTTATTGAGTTGTGGCTGCGAATTCTCGTGTGTTAAATATTGAAAGTTAGATGTACGACGAATAATTTTAGCGACAATGGCATCGTTGGAAGACAGTTGGAAGGAAGCTACGAGCGATCTGGACGGCGCGGTCTGCGACGCCTGGTTCGCGCGTCTGCAGGAGGCCTACTCGGAGGAGAAACGCACGTACCACAATCTGGACTCGCTGCGAGAGAAGTTGAATCACTTTTACGAAATTAAGGACAATCTCAAGAACCCGCAAGCCGTCCTGCTCGCCATATTCTTTCAAAAGTGAGCAGCAGCGGAATATATGATGAGAAAAATATTTTATAATATATTATCACATGTTGAGTTGCATACGTATTTTATTAATTTATAGACACATGTTATTGTTGTTGGTAGCAGAGCTGACTTTGAAATACTGTTGTAGTTTCGAGTACGATCCCAAGGCTTTGGACGGCGAGAACAAAAATCTCGATCACTTCAACGCTTTCGCCGACGAAGCCAACATTCCACCAGTGAGTTGCCTCTGCATTCGAGAATGATTTTGACACAGAAATTTCTTTAAAAAATATAAGATTGATATAAAACTACGCATTTGTTATTGATTTGAGCAATTAAAGCAATTTTACGGCTGGAATTTGATATATTAAAATTGTAGCCTGCGATTAACGATTTGTCAGCGTTTCAGATTTCAAGAGATTTAAAAATAATTTTTAATCTTCAAGGATGCTGGACGCAGGGAGGATGCATGCGCTCTGTTGAAAGTGGCGGCGACTCATAGCACGGAAGCGCACAAGGTGGACGGTGCTTTCGGCATCGACGACGCTCACTATTTCCTGGATCTGGACATGGCGGTACTCGGCTCCTCCTCGGACAGTTACGCCGAGTACAGAGAGCGAATACGCGGCGAGTACTCTTTCCTCAGCGAGCCCATGTATACGGCACTACGACTGAAAGTAAGCCGTGTTTTATTTTTCTTAATTAGAATTTTCGAAAATTCGAGTAGATGATTTCGATAAAATCGAGTACTATCGAAGAATTCTCTGAATTACGTAGATTATCAACACTTCAGTGCGACGAGGCCAAGCCTACATCGTAAAAATTCGGAAGATTATTTAAAGTAAGATGTAAAAATTATGTGATCTTGTATAATTCTGCAAAATTTATTTTGCATAATTTCTATTTATTAATCGTACAATTTTTACATCTTACATGTGCGAATTTTTTGCGGCGTATGTTATGAGCTTCCAGCGCTATTGTGTTGTATATTTCATTGTTGTATTATCAAGAATTATCTAAAGTACTGCAGGTAATTTCGACTGATAGTGACGTTTTTTAAGTTGTCGGACAAAGAATTATGTAAGAAGTTACGTAAATATGAAGAAACTCGTTTCTCGGCTGCGTCTGCGATCACAGAGCAGATTGCTTTGCAGAAGTTCGAGGCAAAGATAAGAGATTTAAGATTCATCTAAAAATTCTATTTTTTAAAAAATAGAAAAATTGAAGAATGTGTTACGCAGAATATTAATTTTTAGACAAATTTTTTCAAGTTGTCGGACAAAAAGAATCGCGCGATAATAAGAAATTGCGCAAAACTGCGGAAATACTTTCAACTGAGTCTAAAATCGCAAGGATAAAAAATCCTCTGAAAATTATGCTCGAAAATATTAAGAGCGTGTCGAGCAGAGTATCAGTCTTCGGGCGGTCCTCACGTACGCTTTTAGGTGTTGCAGAACTTCCTGCAAATCCCGAACATCTTCGCCACCATGGAGTTTCGCGAGAAGCTGGAGGAGCAGGCGCGCCAGAACATCCAAACGGAAGTGGAGCTGCTGTCTTAGAATGCCATCGCTTCGCATCAAACCGAGAGTTTCGCGGAAGGCTCGCGTGAAAATGCCGAGAATCCGCTTGATTCTTCGAGAACTCTCGTCGGACAGCAAACGAAGAATTTCGACGCCTACCTCACCGTAGAGATACACTCATAGCCGGTTTCGCAGACCCACTGCGAAACGAATATTGAATGCAAATCCTTCGTGACTGAAAGATAGGATATTATTATGTCTGCTGCTATCCTGCCGCGCCGGCGGCTCGTTCTGAGCACGTTGGAGCATTCAATCTTTTTCTTTTTTTATTTTTTTTCCTCTTAGTTTCTTCTTGTTTTTACAAATGTGGGATTTTTATCGCACAGCTTTTTTGACCGTCAATTATTTATTTCATAAGGAATTCAGTAATTCATGAATTTTGAACGAGGAATTTAATTTTTGTGAATTACTTGACATTTAATAGTTGTTTTCCAATTAATAAATATATATGAATAGTTATGCAAAGGTATTTGAGCGCAGCGCGCCGTTAAATGCGTAGGCAAGCGGAAGGGTATTAGTGCGTGCGGCTTGGGGGGGGGAGGGAGGGTAGCGTGCGTCATTAGTAAAATTAGCAAGCGAAAGGGTTCGATCACTCACGCCCGATATTTTTCTCGCTTACACGCCTACAATACAAACGATTGATGAAATGTCCTCTCGACTAGTGATTATTTTTTAAATTATAATAATTGTTCAATCGTTGAAATTGTCTTTCTATTGAGATCTCATGTGATGAGAAGCGGATAGGATAGGATACGCGGTTCACCGCGTCCTGAGGATTTGGTGAATGGAATTGACGTGTCCATAAGTGTAATACAATAGTATATTTTAGAGAGCGTATTTTCACCGCTGCGGATTTTGCAAAATAATGAATTCAAAAATCGGCAGACGCGCTTCTACGCGCGCGTCTCCCGCGACAAATTTTTTCATCTTTTTGCGTGAAAGATTGTCAGGGTCCTCGGAGAACTCGAGAAAGTTTAAGAGAATTCGAAGGACTTTTGATTGCAACGCGCTCGTAAATACTCGGTGATTTTGAAAACAAGCTTTTTTTCCGGCGACACATTGTCGAGTTTTACGCAGGTTACAATTAAATACCGCTGCAGCGAAGTGTATTTTAAGGCTCGTATCAAAATGTTAATAAAAAGAGAAAGTTGTTAAATAATAATTAATATAAGATGGTACTTGGAGAGCTAAAAAAAATGTGCTGATGGAAATATTACAAATAATGTACAATGAAATAAAGATGATTATTAAATACATCTGTTAATATAACATTGTCCTACATGAAAGATTTTTATCACAATTTCATGAGAATGTTTTAAAATTGTTTTAAAATAATTTCTGAAATTTTTAACATATTGGATTAATTCCATAATTATGCTGTGTATTTTCTTGTATTTTTTATATTCTTCTATCTTTAAATTTTTTTATAATAATGTGATGTTGCTTTTAATGGAATTACAATTTTAATTTCAATGTTTTGTAAAAGTTTTATATGTTTTTTTAGGTATTTATTTGTAGAAGTAAGTATTACTAAGCAAATATATATCTGTTTTTGCCTCTATCTGTCTTTATCGATCTGCTTTCGTCGTTTCTAGGTAACTGATTGTCGTTTGCTTTAGATATGCGTGCGTGCTTGCGAAGAATAACTGACCGGTCATTGTGAGAAAAAGTGGGAGATCTTTTCGAGGTATTGAAAATCCATTTACCGATTTATATCATTGGAAATCGATACATCATGCCGGCCCAGTTCGAAACGAGCGAGAATCCTTGCGATGATAACGAGGTAAAAATGTCGATACTGCATGTAAAATGTTCTTCTAAATTACATTACGCAAAAATATCAGTATAATTCATATTGTGCAAAGTATCGCAATTTTAATATTTACAACAGATTTTACAATGAGTGCAAAATCACTTTTTCTTTTAATCTAAAGCATTTAGATCAAAAGACGACAATACATATGCGTGTACGCATATGTAGATTAAAGAAGAATAATAAATAATATATAAAAATTATACAAAAGACTACAAGAATCTTAAAAAATTAATTACAAGCATGATTTATAAATATGATTTGTTTTAGACGCCGGAGTATCAGAACACTTATCGCATGGAGCCGCGAAATCCTTTCAAGATCGATCAAGTGGACAAGATTGTAAAATCGGTGATGAATAATCGTTTGGACGAGTTCGCGTACGAAGACGCGGAGGCCGCGAAATTGTGCGGCGATATCGCGTCGGAAATACGGCGGCGCGTGAAGAAACTCAACTTCGACAGGTGCGAAATCGTGACAACGAGATGACGAAGAGATGAGTCTCACGGAAGCTGAACTAATCGATCGAAATTAATAAGCATTAGCAGTAATCACGTGTTCTGATATTAAAGTTAAAAAACTCGCACAAATCGGAGTTGAAAATATCGATTTATGGTTTCTGAGAGGCTCAAATGAATATAATTCTTCGGAAATGATTTTTTATAATTCTCTCGGGGAATGCCAGAAATTCCTTACTAGTCACGTTTGTATACCGTTATTCTCAGGCACAAGATTGTCACGATCGTGACGATTGCAGAGAAAACCAGTCAGTTCGCGGAGACAACTCTGGGATTCTTGTGGGATAACGAAAAAGACAACTATTCCACTTTCTTCTTCGAAGGCCGTACTTTTCACGCTTATTGCTGCGTGACAGGTGTTTTGTACGAATAGAATAAAAGACGCAGCACGCGCGTCTGTTTCGGAAAACATGTTAGGAACACGTTAATTGCAAAAAAACAGTTGTTACACGTGCAGTCGTGAAGTGTCATCTTAAAGGAGGGCGCGTCGCGCTGTGATATAGCACGAACTTAATTATGCAATAACTTTATAATCTACGGAAAACATTAAACAACTGCATTTTATTTGCATTTATCAGAGAGATTAGAGATAACTCGTCAATTTATATATTCGCTCGATACCTTTTCATTATCAGTTTGGCTTTTCGTGAGTGCGGTACCACCTGAGCATTCTTCCTCGTTACGTAAGAAGAGATATCGTTTCAAGTGCGTGAAAAAGGTAAGTTTGCTAATTTTATCTTGCATATTAATTAAGTATATCATAGACATAAAATATATCAAATTTACAATAAAACTCGATCGGCCGATAATCCGATTTGATAAGATTTATGTCATAAGTCTGTTAGAAATTAGAAAAATTTATTTAAAAAGTCGAAAAACGAACATTTGTAGTGAATATTTTTCTTCTTTTACAAATGAATTATTTTATTTCCTATCTTTTATAATCTTATATGTCAAATGTAATTTTTACAATATCTTAGTATTTTATTTTTCTCTTATTTGTATAAATTAATTTTGTTATTTTCTCTTATTTTCAGTCAACTCAGTCATTCTTAGTGTCTCGTTCGTGACGAGAGAATAAAATCTCATAAGATGTATGAGAAACTTTGCTTCTTTATTTTGGCGATATGTGCGGTAGAAGGCATACCATCAAATATACTAAAACTAAAATGCGATATTGAAATGTCAGAAAAATTGGAAACGTGTTACGCAGATAACAATAATCCTTATCCCTTTACCGGCGTTAAAACAGCGTATGATTTCGTTCACAGTAATATCACAAAGCGTATCGTTTTAGAGAGTGAGTATTCGTGCCGAAAAGCGCCGAAATTTTTGCACACTTAGCATCAAGAACGGAAGTTTTATTGTTCAATCGTGATTTAAATAAATACGTGATTTAAGTAAATACGTGTTTCAGATTGCAAACCGCAGCAGATTTGGATGCTCGTCAGACATGGCACTCGATACCCAAATGAGAAAGGAATCAATCAGATGTTGAACCTGACGCACTTCCGAGATTTTGTTATTAGCAATCACGAAAATCACAGACGTGAGCGAGGAAATCTTGTTCTGGAATTTTAGAGCCATTTAAGGACGTAAAGCATGACGCATTTCGTTTGATTAACAACTGACTTTTTTTTATAGGCGGGCATTTGTGCGAGAAAGATTTAGAGAATCTCAAGAACTGGAAGCCCGATCCCGGACTCCACCCAAATAGGGCGAAGGGCCTGTCGTCACAAGGTAAAAAGGACTTGGAAATGCTGGGCCAAAGACTCAAAAAGGAGTTCCCGCAGCTTTTCGGCACGTGCGAGTCGCATCATTGTAAGGTAAGCAATTTAGAAGAGCGTAGATATGTGTAAAAGTTTCGATACTCTTTTCTACGCAGCACAAATATCCAAAAGACATCCAGAAGATATCTAGAAGATATCTTTGAGAGTTACGATATCTTCGGAATATCCCTCGAACGTCCCCCGCTTATACATGCTGTGTGGGTTATAGAGATTTTCCGATTGTCGTGTTTCTTCTATTAAAAAATCGATTGTAACATTCACAATAGCATCTTTATTACTGAAAAATTGTCTTATGGTTTAAAAAAAAAAAAGAAACGAAAGGAGGAGAAAAGGGCTGTGAACTTAACTCTAGTCCGATTAACTATCGAAGAGATTCGTACTGTCCGGATCTTGCGAACTTGAATCACTTTCGCACTATCACAATCTTTGCTCAATGCGCTTGCTTCGTCGCTCCGAAATTTTTTCCTTGAGAATTTTTAATAGAAGAGAATGGTCGGTGACTTACTTTCGAAAAATTATATTGGGAGAGAGGATTTCTCCAATTTTCGGCATACTTGCTTAGCGACTAGCTTTCGACACGAGGACATAAAATATTCTAGAATAACGATGTAAAATGTTAAACGAACTTTAACAAGCATCATTAATTACTGAAGGATTAATATTAATGCGTCGATTAAAAATTGATTTTTATAACAAGTTCGGCAATACGTATATCTATATCGCACATCTATCTCGTGCTATTTTTAATATACGATAATTCAATGAAATCAGACTTTTATCACACTTTAATCAATCGTCATTTATCGCAAGATAGTGAACTGGTCAAATAATTTTTACTTGATTTTTTTTCTTTTTTCGTTTATTTAACAGTATGAGATAATTGCAGAAAACAATTTTAGCAGATATTACTGAAAAATTTTTTTTGTTAATTTAACACAATGCTTATCGATTTTTCAGTTCAGGTCAACGGACACGCAGCGCACCGTCGATAGCATGAACTCGTTTGTAAAAGGAGCTTTTAGCAGCACGTTCACTCCTAATCCAGAAATAGTGCCGAGCGTCAATGATACTTTGCTGAAGGTATCATATGATAATATTGATCGAAAACTAGTCACACTCTTTAAGACACTAAGGAGAATGAAACAAAGTTTCAATTAATTTAATAAAAAAAATTTTAAAGATTGAAAGGTCTGCATAATTAAAAAGTCAAATGGCTCTCGATCTTCATTTATTTATATCAAGTGAATTTTTATTGTTCTTTTTTGTTATAAAATTATTTTATTTTTCAAATATTTTTTCTGTTGTTTAATTAATGCGATAGATATACGATAATTGCAAGCCATGGGAGGAAATGAAGGTTACTCAGGAAATGACTAAATGGATTAATGGTCCGACAATGACAGAAGTCCTTGCCAATGTTAGTGAACGATTAGGCTTGACGTATAAACTTAACTTCGGTAAGTAATCACTTATTAAGCATAATGCAACATCAATTTTCTGCCGACTATTAATCATCCACAAGTAGTTATCAATTATTATTCGTTAGATTAACATATTATCAACTGGCAGTTATTAATTACAGCAAGTTGAAACAAAAATGCGCAGTTTTGGAATTTAAAGTCCGCGGTCGCGAATAATTAATAAATCGAATAATTATCAAGAGTCTTTTCTTTTACTGATTATTAACAAAATAATTTCAGACGATGCATTTTTGATCTACGACGCGTGTCGATACCAGAGAGCTTGGTACCCGGAGCAAAGATCGCCCTGGTGCGCCGCGTTCACCGACGACGACATACGAGTGCTCGAATACGAGGAGGATCTTTATCACTATTATCGCGTTGGTCCGGGAGTGAGCGTCAACAGCGAGCTCGGATGCCACCCTCTTCGAGACATGTTAGATCGTTTCTCGTAAGTTGACTGAAAGCCGTTTAAAAATCCTTCGTCCTTATAAAAGTCCTTTATGCTTCTCAATAGTCTTAGTTTTTTTTTTCCTATTTCTTTCTATTTTAATTTCGAAATTTCGAACAGGAAATTGGAAGATGCGACGGAAGAAGAACCGGCGGGCGTGTTTTACTTCACGCATTCGGAGATGGTGATGCTGTTCTACGCGGCGATGAGCATCGGCAAGGACACGCCGCCCATCACGGCCTCGAATTACAGAGAAATGGGAAACAGAAGGTGGAGGTCCTCCCTGTTGACGCCGTTCGCCACAAATTTCGCAGCTGTTTTCTACAAGTACTACAATTATCGCTTATTTATTTTACTCTCTGAATTTGATTGTTGAATTTCTTATTATTTTTCTCGGAACAATACGATTTTTTTCTTAGATGCGAGAACAGCCTGATTCCCTTCAAAGTCGCTTTCTACTTAGCCGAGGAGCCTTTGAATCTCGAAGGCTGTGTGCACGGAATCTGCGACTGGCAACGCTTGAAGAAGAAGCTGGCTCCCATCGCGGCGAAGTGCAGCACGAAATTTTGCGAAAAAAAATAATTAACTGTCGCATTTATTTCAACGAGATCTTGTCTTTTTGGATTTTTTATGGATTTTTAACGCATAACAAGGTACTAAGTCCTTTGCTTTAGAATTTTATTTGAGCTTTTAATTCCCTTATTTGTACGCAAAATAAACGAATAAGTTAAAGATATCCATTTCGTGATTTTACAATGTTTTTCTTGTACGATAATAAAGTGAGACATCCATATAAAGCCATTACTGCCCGCTTCGCTTTTCCAGCGACAAAGTAAGGGATAGAGATTTGAGTCACTCGTATTTACTAATGGGAGAAAGGGGGCAACGCGTGAAGTTATTATGCAGATAAAAAATTACAAGGGAGGGAATTGGGTGTGTCTTGAACCAGGTCACGTTAACTCGCAGGTCGAAGGAGTCGCGTGACTTGGATTGAAATATAGGCTAGACACGCGTGGGCATTAGCTCAGGTGCTGCCTGGTAGTGAGACGAGGCTCGATGACCTCGCGGGCGGCAGTGCCACACGAATCGTCGCGGTGAACGGCGGCTCGAATGCCAGCTCTCGATCGCGAGACTCGAGTTAATCGTTTATACCGATAGTATTCTCCTTCGCTATCGTAACTCGCGCCTCGCTCGCGATCTCTCGTCTTCCGCCGTGCAAGGATCGCGAACCGCGCCCTGCTCGAAATTTTTAGCCTCCAAGTGTTGAGTTTCAAGACTCCGTCTCCGACTTTTAGCACTTTCGATCCTGAGAGATTTTTCCGATTGCTTGTGTTTTTTGAATCGTCGTACGTATCGAATTTTAATTGTTTGGCTCAATTGACTGAGATGTTCAGGCAGAGATTTTGATCCTTAAATTTCGAATATTGATATTAAAAAATATCAATAATAATTTAGCAATCAGCTGGATTTAAACTGCTAGGTTTTGAAAACTGTAGAATCCTAGATTTTGAATTTTTAGCAGCTTAGAATGATCAATAACTATGAGGTCCTTGTATTAAATTTCTCGTCAACTGAAAGCTTATACACGTGAGACTTAATATTTCAATAAGACGCAGTCATCACAATCGAATTAATGAATGTTTGAACGATGAAGATAAATATTTGGAGAGCTGCTCATTAAAGACACCAGGCATTTCGATTTCCCAAGTTTCTCGTATTTTTAACTCTTCGATATGAGCTTTTCCTTCAAAGTCCTTGAAATTATCCAATTGATAAACGGTCCTTCAATATATAGCAATGTTCTTATCTAATGTTTTCAATGTCTCTCTGATTTCAAATGCTAAAATTTAGATTCGCGAATAATGTGCGACGGATTATCGCCGGAAACGCCCGATTCGCGACCTTAAAGTTAACACACGAAATTAGCATATCACGCACACGAGATGGCAATTTAATTCGTAACACCAGATTAAATATCATGCGGAATGAATCGCGTGTCTCTCAAATTCCAATTGTTCCGCACGAAAGTGCCGCGGCGTTCGCTTTCGATGCGTAATTCGAGAATCACCGCTTCGATCTCGGGCTGCTCGTCGGATTTCACTGGCAACGAATAAACACGAGCGCAAAATGCGAATAATTACGCTGCTCTCCTGCTCTAAGAATCATCGAGCGTGACCAACGTCGTCGTCCTACTTTCCTGAACAATTGTCGCAAACGCGCGTCGCGTTCTATCGCCCTGCCATTCATCGCCGCGCACCGCAATCGAGGAAATCTTTGAATATTTAATGTACTTACTAATATTAAATTGATACAAAAGGTTTGTCGCTTCTTCGTGGGTCTACTTTAATTATAGTTATCGATTTCCATTCTAAGAGCTCGGAGTTTTTCAAATCATTGTATAAAAACTTGTTTTATAGATTAAAAAATGTATTGAAGTCAATGACGAATATTTAATTTATAAACATTTATTCAAAATGCAATTCTGTTCTCTTTTCAATCTCACTTGATAAATACGACAAACCTAATATATTTTCCACAGTTCTCATAATAACAATAATATTGGATTGGTCAAAAAATTTCTTCGAAAATAAAAGACAAAAGTTCGAAGAAACTTTTTAACCAGCCAAATATATTTATATTTTCTACATTTTTGATATATTTTTTTGAGAGAAATTAATGTGTTAAAAAAATCATCGTAAACCAAGCTGATTTCTTGATTGAAATATAATAAAGATTAATCGACTATACATCTTTTATAATAACAGCTCTGATTATTTTTTAAAACTTTTTTGTAAAGCTATTGTAGGAAAAACAAGCACACTTTTCCTCGAACGCGCGAAGCAGCAGGCGTATAATGGGTTTCACATTGAAATGAAATTGCAACGAAATTAGAGACGGTGGCAGTTACGCGATACTCGTGCGCAAGAAATTGAACATAAGTGGGCCAAGTAGTGGACTCATTAAGGCAGAGCGAAAGAAGAAGGCTCCGCTAATCGAGTCGTCATTGTCAATCGCATTATCGTCACTATTACGTACGCGGCTATTCCTGAATCGCCGCGAGCGATTGTACAGACCGATTTCCACACATACTATACATTGTACAATATCGTGTTGTGAATGCACGACGTAATTTTATTCGCGCATCTGCTATCCGCGACGCCATCCTTGGCCTTCGCGTCTGACACGTATTGTACACTGCGCTCTCACGGAAGTTGATCTTCGGAAGGTCCGGGATAGAGTTTCGAGATACCTTTTCTAACAATAGATTTAATTATCTTCCGTCAACTTTTTTGTTCTTTATTGAATCTTCTAACTTTTGTTCGAGTCTCTTCTCATATTCTTTTTGAGATTGCATCTTTGAAAACGTTAGAAACAAATCCTTTTTTTCACGCATGAAAACACACTTGACAATTCCAAAGTGATAATTGCTGCGTCGAATCACTTATGGTCGCATGGTGACACTTTGTGAGTCCCGTCACCCATCTGCTTGTTAATTTACCGCATTAGCACATGCCGGTACTTCGCCGGCTCAGCCAGTATTCGCAATCTTGGCGCGCGAGCGAGCGAGAATACGCGCGAACATACATACTTCCGATTATGCAATCGCAAGAGCTACGTTACGCTAGCTTCACGAGTTGGTAATAAGTTACATTCCGCGATTTCGTCATCCGACCGACGAAATGTAGGTTTACGACGGAACGAGGAAAAAAGAAAAGCGCTTTTCTGAAGCTTCTCGGCCTTGTAGCGCTCTCTGTAAAAATCGGCTAAAGATTAATCCTTCAGCGCGAAGTATTGTGTGAAATTTTCACAAAATATAGATAGTATTATTTAAGAAACTTGTACAGTTTATCAAATATTATTACAGAAACAAATTAATTTTTTTATACATAGAAAGAGAGTTTGATGCGAGTAAAGTAATGTTAGTTTTTTTTTTTTAATAGTAATTAATAATAATTAAAGTTAATAATGGCAGTGTAAAATTGCAATGAATAATAATTATTGCTGTTATTTTTGTAGCAACAGCGATACTGCATGATGTACGCATTGCTATTGGTGATCGCGTCGCTTCTTGCTTCTTCGAGTATTCATGTGCTCGCACGCGATGTCGATTTTTGTCTTGCGGATGAAGATAACCCATATTTGCACATGGCCACGAAAACTGCTTACCACTTCGTACACAGTGGCAAAACTCGGTTCGAGACTGTACCACGTGAGTATTAAAAATTGGATCGATGAAAGTCGATTGTTGATATTATAGATGCTTGATGATAATAAAAAATCGACACTTCTGCTTGAACTTTTGGATACAAGCGACTCTACTGTTTAATGATACTAAGCTATTTTTATTATAATTTTTACAATACACAGTTGTGTATTATTGTTCTGACAAGTTCGAAATATCTAATGCTTTTATGTACTGCAGTCTAAAAAAAGTAATAGATTCCCAAAATATCATTTATCTTTACTCCCGGAAGTGGCAAATTAAATATTTCGTATCGTGTAATTTTGTACTAAATCGAATAGACGTGATTTGAAAGAAGCTGCATCAGATTCGAATTATTTTTATATGCTTCACATTTACGCCTACTGTCTATTTCTCGTGTTTCAATTTCATTCTTCTGATAGACTGCCGACCAGTGCAAATCTGGATGCTTGCGACACACGGAACACGTTGCCCAACCCTCAATGAAATTAATGAGATCAGCAATCTAACTGATCTCAAAAATCAGATACTTCACAATCATGAAACACGCCGCGGTAAGTTTACGTCGATCTTTTTTTCCTTCCCTTTATATTCTTTTTATATAGAGATATCAATTTTTTTATATCCTTCTTGATTTCATTCTTTACTTTCTAGACAATTTTCTTACGTTGAAACAAAATATTAATGCTATGAGTTATTTTCTTTTTCGTTAAATATAAAATATGTTGGTTTTTTGTATATCAATATGATTCCAAGTAATTTTAGAAACTTTTTCCTTAATCGTCTCATCGATCGCGCAGACGGTCGCCTGTGTAATCGAGATCTGGAGAATCTGCAGAATTGGAAGCCAAACGAGTATCTGATGCCGCAGCGGGCGGAAAACCTGACGCCGCAGGGGGTTGAGGACATGAAGCTGCTGGCGAGAAGATTGCAGAGCAACTTTCCGGAGTTGTTACAACCCAATTCAAGCAACATTACATCCACTAATTACAAGGTGTCTGTTGCAATTAATTTTGTTCGCAAGTTAGCGTGTCGTAGCAATTAACTAATTAGTCAAATATATTTCCATTAAATTAGTTAAATGTATTTTATTAAATATAAATGTCAAAAATCTTGATAAAGTAATCGCAAGAATAATTTCAGTTCCGCGGCACCGAAGCACGCGACAGTATGTCGTCTTTCATGGAAAGTTTGTTCGGCAGCAGAAATATTATACTTCCCGAAGAGAGCTCCCTCAATGATACTTTATTGACCGTAAGTATGCTTTTTTTTATCACAACTAAGCACAAATTCAATAAATGCTAAGTCGTAAGTATTTTTCAAAGAACTTTGGTACGTTTTGAGGAAGAAGTTGACTTCGTTCTTTATATTTCGCTTATATTTCCACTTAGCGACTTTATTTTACGATTTAAAATCATTACACATGTGTCTGCTCTAATTTAATTAATTTCACAGGCGTACAAAACGTGCAGCTTGTGGGACAATTTGAAGGATGAGCAAGTGTTTGAAAATCCGGAACGCAAAAAATTCGAGACAGGACCAGAGTTTCAGAATCTTCTGAAGAACGTTAGTCGACGACTCGGTTTTCTGTATAACATATCCATTGGTGCGTATATGATTGCAGTGAATGCGACGATAATTATTTACTAATAATTTACAGAATGTGTATAATATAAAAATTAAATTCTTAAATTCACTCAATTCATTAATAATAATTCTATCTAAAAATTTCGATATTCACATACTTTTACAATCGATAAAGATACTTGAATATTTCCAGAAAACATTGACGCTATGTACGACGCGTGTCGATACGAAAAGGCTTGGACCGTCAATCGATTGTCACCTTGGTGCGCCGCTTTCAGCAAGGATGAACTTTACGTTTTGGAATACAGAGAAGATCTCGATTATTATTACAAAGCGGGCTATGGACGTGACATCAATGCTCGTTTGGGATGCCCATTATTACACGACATGATGCAACACTTTTGGTAATGCAACGCAAATATGCACGACAGACGCACACGTGCGCGCACAGAAACACACATTCTTTTCTTTACACCGTATTTTTACGAAATTTACACAAATTTTTATAAAATCTTTTGTGTCACTTTGTACAGTTAACAATATATTATCTCTAATAGTATCTCTTAATATTTCAATCAGGAACGTAGCACGCGACGAAATGTCGAACGAACCCCTGGGCATCTTTTACTTCAGCGATATCGTCAGCCTGCAAAATCTTCTAACTACAATAGGTATAAATGAGGATAAAACGCGATTGACCGCCGACAATTATAAGCATATGACCGAACGACAATGGCGCACTTCTTTGATATCGTCCTTCGCTTCGAATCTCATTGCAGTATTTTATAAGTAAATATACATGCATTCTTCTCTTATTTAAATATAATTTATTATTTTTTATTTTGGTTATATGTTTACCGGAAAAAAAAGAGAAGTTTTAGCTTCATATTTTATTAGATAAGAATTTCTATATTCTACGTAAAGTTAATCCTAATTTCTACTGTTGCGAAATGTCCTATTGCAGGTGTAATGATAGCAATAACCGCAACAAAGTGATGTTTTATCTGGCGGAAAAACCAGTGCAGTACGAAGGCTGCCGAGTGGGCCTCTGCGATTGGGATTTTTTGAAGAGCAAATTCGGTAAGTTGGCGTCCAATTGCAAATTGGACGTCTGCTGGAACACGGGTGGAGCGTCCTCCACTTTACCAAATTCTATAATCATTTTACTGATGTGCTATATTCTAGTCGGCCTTGGTTTTAAGCAACTGTAAATAAACTATTTTTAGTCTCCGTTTTAATCATCGACCTATAGATTGTAAAATATATTAACTATGTGTAGAGATGTAAGGCGTTAAGTTATAGATAATACGCTAATTATAAATGTTGCTCTTGAATTTAAATATTGATGAATTTTTGTGACTTTCTAATATATATATAAAATATTTTGCAATATGTGTGTGATTAATATAACACACACACACACACACACACACACACTATATAAGTAATAACGTGTAGAGAGTCTTGATATATTTTATTTATAATAATTAATATAATTATTATTATATTACTAGAACGATCAGAAAGTTTCTTTGGAATTTTGCATTTATTTTTATCGAGAAATCTAAAGAAATTTTCTGATCAATTCAATATATTCCTTATATAGTTTATAATAAAATATTGTAATATGTACTTTATTATATATTTATCGCACTTATATTTTATTTGTGCCTTTCTATAAAGTTTTAGTTAATAACTTGTAACAATAATTAGAACCATAATTATTCACACGTCAAATTTTTCCATCTCCTTTTCTCTCTTTTTGACTGTCTCTGTCTCCGACAAAAAATTAGTTCGATAATAAAGATAAGATTATTTTATTATAACAAATATAATTAATAGAATTTATTTCAGATATTCGAATAAGGATATGACAAGTTAATTAAAGAATAATGACATATACAATACACCTGGCGATATTTGTATAATTGACAATGCATCTTGATAAAACAAAGGAACAAAAATATGCAAAGAGCTTTCGATAAAATCTAGAAACACAGAAGCGCATCGCCAATATCAAAGATGTGATGTTGCTCATTACAATAGTGACAGTGTGAGATATTTAACGCGTTATAACATTCGAAATTTTACGAGACAATAATTAATCGCATATAAAATTTATTTACAGGCTCAAATCATCACAAAAATTGTGGAAACAATGCGGACGCAAGGAATTTATTTACATTTAACTGTAGCAGTGTTTGCGCAACTAATTACATTCGTGTTTTAAAAATCTATCGAAGTGCGATATGTGTCTCGAAATACGATATTGCGATTTGCGTCTCGAAATGCGATATTGCGATTTGCATCTCGAAATGCGATATTGCGATTTGCATCTCGAAATGCGATTTTCAAATCGATCGAGAGCGGCGCTATGACCTCTTCCGGGCGACAATTTAACCTCCGTGTGACGTCAACCGTAATGCATCAAGCGCGTTCCCAGGCGTAAAAATCCATGCTCGACTTTCCAATATGTCCACGTAGGATCCGTTCTTCCGTCGTAAAGAAAAGTCTGTAATATAATGACTTCGTAGCTGCGAGGTAATTTTGGTTGACGCATTATATCGTCATTAACAAAATACCCAAATATGAATAATTGGAAATAATTTTTGTCAAACTTTAAATCTCTCGCAACTTTGATTAGATTTTCTCTGTCTCACATATTAAATCTTATTAATTACAGATAAATATTCTCATCGATACGTTCTAATATTTTCATTAAATAATATCAAAATGCTTAAATTAGAATTATCAAAAGTTTTAAGTAATTTTAAAAATGTTAAATCTTCACTTGAATTATTTTTTCGTTTACATGTCAAAGTTTATAATTTGTGTGTTAAAACTTTGTAAATTTTCCAATTTATAAGTGCTCCTACCTTGGTAAAGTTATGTATACCTTATATTTCAGAATTTGTTAACAACTGACAGATGTGACTATGGCTAGTCCACGGACACGTCGAGTGTTGGGTGAATTGAAGCCCAAAGATGAAAACAATGTAAGTTTTGTTTAAAATGAAATGAAACATAATAATACGTGCAATTAAAACCAGATAGAAGAGTATATGTGTGTGTTAGACTGTGAAAAATTCCAGTTAGGTATCCATAATATTAACAGATGTTTCAATTTAAACTTGTTTTTATTTACAGAAAATGTGATTTTTATCACTTACATCAGTATTTCATAATGTAATATTAACGCACATATATATTATATTTATTTAATGTATGAATATTATATAAATAACTCCATCACACTTGGTTATTTTGCAGAAATGCTTCGAATGTGGCAACCACAATCCACAATGGGTATCTGTAACATACGGCATCTGGATATGTCTGGAGTGCTCTGGGAAGCATCGTGGTTTAGGTGTTCATCTGTCATTCGTTCGTTCCATTTCTATGGACAAATGGAAGGATGTGGAGTTGGAGAAAATGAAGGTTGGTGGTAACAGAAATGCCCGAGAATTCTTTGAAAGTCAACCCGACTGGGACGAATCCATGTCCATCTCGCAACGTTATAATACGAAAGCAGCAGCATTATATAGGGATAAGGTAAATATGTTGGTTATAATGTGATTGTGAATTTGTGTGATTGAAAGCAAGTCTAAATCAATTTTTATTGTATTTATTAACCTGTTAAATCACTTAAACGTACATTTTTCTCTTAGATCGTGTCGATGGCGCGAGGAGAAGTCTGGAGTCCGAGCAGCTCAACAGCAAAGGATTTTCAACCATCAATGTTCGGTGAAAGCAGGCAAGAGCACTCGTATCAGAGCGATATGACCTCTTATCAAAATATGGACAGCCTGAAGACACAGACAGAAACCTTTTTCGCAAGGAAGCAAAACGAAAATGCCAGTCGTCCAGAGTAAGATTTTTTTTGTTATTTTAAATCGTATTAATTGCAATTTTTTATAGTTATATAGTAATCGATAATTAATTTAATCTCAAATTTACTTTTTTAGTAACATTCCACCCAATCAAGGGGGCAAATACGGCGGTTTCGGTTATCAAATGGATCCACCACCCAAAAGTTCATCCCAGGAATTGTTCGATACTGCTGTATCTTCGTTAGCCAGTGTACGTTTTTAATATTTCAAAAATTTCTATAATTTTTAATCGACTCAAATTAATTAAACTTTTTTTTGCAGGGCTGGTCAATATTCTCCTCCTCGGCGTCGAAAATAGCGAGCAAAGCTACTGAAAACGCCATGAAGATCGGAGGACTCGCGTCGCAAAAGGCAGGTGTTCAAAAGCTGAGAAGTCTAAGTAATTTAAAAATAGAATTCGTCAATATATTAGTAGTATGATTTAATAATGAATAATCTTTAATAATATTAAAATTTCATTTTTTTTCTTAAAGAATTATATATTTCAGAATAGGATAGAATTAAACAAAACACAGCTTGCTGTTTTATTTATTTTTATTCGCATTATATTTTATTATTAAATCCATAAATGTACTTAATCGCTCACCATAAACACGAGGCATGTATATGTTGACTATTATTTTCGTAGATTTGTTTTTTTATAATTTATCAGGTTTTATTAATTTTTATTTTTCTTAAAATATCACATTTTTATTTCGTTTCCTTTTTCTTTTTGCATTACGTTATTAGGTTCGCGATGGCACATTGTTAGAGGACGTCGGAGCCCAGGTCAATACTTTCGTTGCTAAGGTACAAGTTCCTCCGTTTGCTTGCTCTTTCGTTTTCGGCGTCGTTTCGTTCTCCTTAAAACGAAATTGTCGATTAGCAATCACGAATCATAAGTAAGAACTGAGAAATTTAAGTAAAAGAAATACACAGGTGGGAGACATAACGAGACGTGGGGGATGGGGTGACATCGCTGGGACCAATTCAGCCGAGCAACAAAGGCAGTACGATTCCATGGACCGATATCAGTATTCCTCCGATACGTATCAGAATAACGATTCGATACACGCAAATCGCTCCAATGAGAAATCGTCCCTCGTGAGAAGTTCCAGTTCGAAGTGAGTGTCTTTTTAAGTTTCTCACATTTGAATTATCGCCAATAAATACGAAAATAAACATACGGAACTGTTTTCGTTAAGTAATCGATAAGATATATCGTTAGTTATTAACAAGCTTTCATTAATTCACTTTTATTTATTTTAGGAGTAACATTTCCACTGGCAATTCTTCGAATACGTCGAATTGCGACTGGGATTGGGGAAATGACGCAAAGCAAGCGAGCAAGACAATATCCTCGAAGAAGCAGCAGGTGAAAACAGAGAAGAAGGAAGAATCATTGATTAGTTTTGAAGCGGACAATAAAGCACAACAGAATTGGAACTCCAAAGCGGAAGACGACGCCTGGGAAATACTAAATAATTGACTCCGATATGATTAGCGCGAATTTAGGAAAAGGGTGTCACTATTGACGAATTAAAGGGAGAAGACGGACATATGCCCTGAGGTGTGTTTTTTGCACAACAGCCTATTTTCCTAATATTCGCAAAATGGGGTAAACTTTTATTTAGTAATTTGTGACGCGATAAGAGCTGCGTTCGATTAAATAATTAGGCTAATCAACACGTCAATAATCTTTCGAGACAAAACAATAATAATTACCTATCTCTTGAGTGCTACTGCCCTTTTTGAAAAAATTCTGAATTTCTAAAATCCAAAAATCCCTCAGAATTAAGATAGTAAATATGAAAATTTTTCAAAAAATAATTTATAAAATAATTTTTAAATCTGGAACAAATATTTTGCAGTACATCTCTTCAGAGCCATTCCTGAAAGAATAATTTGTAAAAATTGTTTTTGATAGTTGCAATATAGTTATATTGAGATTTAACCTTTAAATACGTTTTAAAACATATAAAAGTATAAATGCGGGGTCTTCTAAGGACTTTATATTATCAATTGCGTTGCCGGCGATGTTGCGCATATTGTAATCATAAATTAATAATAAATAAAAATTTAATAAATTATAAATTTTATATTTTATCAATTTTTTGTATTCTCTAAATTTTGTAAAATATTTTCTCTAGTTGATGAGAGCACATTTTGTCCAGACAATAGTTACTTTCTTTGTAACTTATGTGCTGTGTAGATAGATAGATGTAGTATTACTACTCTGTACATATATAAAATTATGAAGAAAATTGTGGTATTAAGATACCTTAAAAGACCCCTAAAAGTATCCAAGGTTAATTGTATAGAAATCACAATGAAAACTAACTTTTTCTCGAATATACTTTTCTCATTCCTGGCCTGTTGAAACTTTGCACTTTGGTTAGATAGTTCACAAGCTCTCGCTGTGCATTTGGCCACACCTCCTCTATTATTTCTGACAACAATCTATGCAGAATCTTAGCAGATTTCTGCGAGAGCCGCGGCGGGAGTTGATTCATCGTTATTTTGTAAAGAAAGTGGTATATTTCCCTGCAAAGAAACGTCTGCCGATTAATTACTGTCAGATTCAACAATGAATTAAAAGTATGTAGATTTAAACACTCTAATGTCCGATGAAGCAAATGATAAGAACTTATGAAATTATAGCATATATTATATATATTGTTATATATAAATTATTGAATATATTATTACGTTACATGCAATGTGGCTATGAAGTTTGCAGAGTGTATCAATAAAAATGTCATCTACACGAATTACCTAAAGTTACATTTTGTTTTCTCCTGATCAAGCGATGAACGCTCTTCATACAATTGGATAAACAGCAGTGCCAGAGGCACTTTGCAATCATTGTCTTCGAATAATTTGCTCTGTAGCCAATTAACCATTAAAGGTCTATCTTTAACAGCATTCTCGATGCGCTGGAATGTTGATGAAATTGCAGCATGTTGCTCCTCTGTGGACATACCTGGCAATATGTCAAAGGGATGGTCAGAATATCCATGCACGAAAAGAGCCTTCAGCAACGCTATCATGTCTTCCTTATTTTTAAAGGAAGAACTGATCTCATTCATTACATCGTCATTTTTGTTTGTCATTTTGACGCTCGCTGTTGTACAACCGTTTTTTCCTGATAAACAAACAAGATAAATTTCATTTCTAATGAAATATTGCAAACGTGCCAAGAATATGAAGATTTATTCTGAAAAATTCTTTTATAGATAGAAACATTCAAAAAGTAACGTAAAGGTTAGTCAATAAGTGAATAAATAATTAATAGATATGTTTCATTTTTTGTCATCAAAGCTGACAAGTCAATAAAAAGGTTAAAAATAGGTTGGAAATTTCTCAAAGCGATACGTAGAACCTCAAATAATAATTTTTGGCAATTTTGTTAAAACTGTTAATTTAATTTTTTCAAATAATAATTTCAATAGTTATTTTTTCTAATTATGATTGAGAAATATTACTTATTTAATAAAATATATACCTCTAACTTCATTAATAAACATAAATGTATACCTTTAATCTCCAGTTGATGTCTAACTTAAATAAACATGTTAGGCTTAGGGTTAGGGTTATCCCCTCTCAGGCTTCTCTCTGCTAGTACCTTCGCAATTTCCCTAAGGTTATATTCTGTCAACATTTATGTTTACGTTTTGAGGGCATTTTGCAGTGCTTCGCGACGAAACGATTTGTTTTTCTGTGACGAATGTCGTCACAACGGAAAGTGTGATCTTGCATTATAAAACTGTCTAACATCGACGAGTAAGTATTTAAATCGGTAAAGAGAATTTATTATTTTTCAAATATGCAAGCAAATTAGTCAACAAAGATCTGAATGGGAAATCTAACCCAATTTGAGCTTTGATTAGAAAGCTTAGAAAATTTAGAAATGACCTTATCCCTTTATTTAAATCAGTTTTTGTTTTCAGATTATGGATATATTTAAAGTATTGTAATTTGAATATTTTGTTTATTTCTCTGTCTAGAAAGGAACGGAAGCGAGCCAGCATGCCAGAGCCTGTAAATCATCAGGTGAATGCCGCTCGTAAGACGTTCCAGACTCTGTATCAGATCTCTAAGTTGCTGAATACGAATCTCGATCCAATCACTCTAAGTATCTGCATCAAGCTGTGCGAGAATGGAGTGAATCCACACGCTCTTGCGACTGTGGTGAAAGAACTTCAGCGGGAGGTCAAAGCAATGGATGCACAAGTGGAGTCAACTGCCAGCAAGAGCAGTACGAACAAGTGATAGTGGATAAATATATTGTCATTGCCCCCTTCACACGCTTTGAGTTGTTCTTTAAATGTTTTAAATGCGAATATAATATACAAGATTTTTATTTATCACACATATGCATTTTTACATTCAGGCTTTCAATATTATATTTAATATTTATAAAAACAATTGGTTTGCTCTTTCGCTCTCTTTAATAGCTACTATAGAAAAAATATTTGAAAAGAATATCTGTACAAAAAATACATAAACAGAAAATGTTTAAGAAATGCAGGAGAACATAAGAGATTCATTATAACTCAACGTTACTTTGCCTTGCCTTGGCACTTTGTTTTCTGATCGATTCGTCTGCTGCGGCCTGTAAAAGTAAATATGTTGTTTCTTTTTGCGACATAATTTATAATCACTGTATCATCTATCTATAAATAGCAAGACGTTCATTCTTTATGTTCTAAATTTTGAAACATTTTGAAAATGGTTACCTGTTCTTTTGCATCCCTGTAATAAGTTTGTCCTTCTAAAGTAAGATAAGATAACTCGGGCTGCTCTAACAGATAATTCTTGGCGTCAACTGCCTGAGATCCTTCACGGAACATGAATATAGACCGTCTTTTGTCAATTGGATATCTGCATAATAATTATATTAAATTACACATTTATATTAACAGTATTATATATTACTTAGTTAATATAGTTGAGAAATAATGCAAGTTTGCTGTTTAGAAAGTTGTTAATAAAAATATGTGCGCAGAATTATTAAAGATGTAATGTATAAATTTCAATGCAAGAAATATAATTTTTGCAATATTTTTTATGACCAAAGAAAGGAGCTTTACCTTTCCGCGATAATATGATTATTTTGCAGACTGGTCTGCCAGATACGCATTATAACTTCAGCTTGTTCTTCTGAAATATCCGGTCTAACATCCACAAACATCATAACGCCTTTCCCTTTCTTTGTCATTCTCAGCAAGTTGTCTGGATTTGAAGCATCTATCTACACAATTTTACACAATTGTTAATAATAGATTCACATATTTTAAACATAAATTGATATCTACAGATCTTTATATGTAAATTATATACCAATTACCTGAGACAAGTCAATCTTTGGACTGGGTCGCAGGTGTTCAGGCAATTCATCTGGTTCCAACGGCTCTTCATTCTCCTAAAATATTAATCAAAAAGATTAGATTTTTGTTTTATTAATAACAGAGCCACGCAGAGAAAAAAATTAATAATTTTTCTTTATCAATTTGATAAAATTTAGCTAATAGATCAGATTAATGGACATACTTCCCACTGATCCAGTAAATGCTCCAAATCAGCCTCCGTCATGTCTCGTATATCCTTATCGCGCCACGATTTCTTTTTTTGTTCCGGCTGCTGAGCGGTCGATGTTGCTAGCATCGTAACGAAGAATGCAAACAAGCAGAGAACGTACTTCGCTTTCATTTTGCCGGTTAAATTATTTAGAATGAAACGTCACGAATTTGTCTTGAATAATTTATCACGATACACTGTGAACATCCCACTGCGTATTCCTGAAATTCAAAAACAATTTTGAATTAGCGTGATTCAACATTGTTAAAAAAAATCAATCAATGTTCAAACATTTAATTTAAAATAATGTTAAGGTTATCTCGATTTTAATCGGCGATATTTTTAAACACATCTTAATGTAGAAAAATTTATATAAATAAAAAAATTGAGAGATTTCTCTAATTTTATTACAGTTAAAAAGAAAAAGCGATAAAATGATGAAAAAATTATAAACAATTACACGTCAACCAAATCTTTTACAGCTGCATAGCGCCATATCGTTACAACCCAGTGCTGACAATATGTAAAAAAAAGTACTATGCACAAGCCGAAGGAAAATGAATACTAGAGAGATGAAGTTATGATCTTGCATATTTGAACAAATTTTACAGTTGCACATAATGCAACAGAGGAATCCAATCACAAGTGCGATATAAAAGAGCATAAAATATGCTTTTTTAATTGGATTTATAATTGGTCGACTTCCCAATGCGTCTTGCAGAATGCAAATGAATGAAGCTTAAATCGTTGGCAATGCATGGAACGCTATCGTCAGTGAACTACGGGTTTCCATGCACGTAATGTTGTTGTTCTCGTCGTTAATGCTATGTTGTTTGTCTGCCGTAGTCGAATTCTGTGAACCTTGTATGTCGCGGCGTGTCGCTTTTCTCGACGGAAAACGAAGCGCCCGTCGTGCACGGATCATGGACACGAGCAGGTACGCGTTCGTTTATTTCATTTTTTGTCGCAAAGTCTCAATTTCGCTCTCAGGGCAAACATAACCCTAGATTACTGCGTTTACGCAACATATTTTAACTGCGAAAATCCGCCTGCTCAAGGCGATAATTACACAACATGGAAATTTATCATTTTTTTTTGGAGAAACTGATGACTGAAAATCTGAAGAATCACTCATGAATTAAATATAATATAATATATACACATTTTTTTATTTGGACAATTTACATTTAGATAATTTACATTTAGACAATATTTATTAAAATGCTATTTTACTTATTTTTATAGATGCTGCTTGCAATGCTAACAATGTGTGACTGATTATTAATCGATTCAGCATGTCATTTACCAACGAGCTAAATATTTATGGAGGAATGATGGCTGAAGGGATGGTTATGAAGGCCAGTCTTATGGAAGAACAATCTGAACAATGTTTGACATTGATAAAGCAAGAGCATGTTGCAGATAAACTGGTACAGAATCTTATCTTGTTGGTTAACACTTCCAAGTTGTACGACACTAATATACTTTTTACATTTTTTTTACAGGTAATAGGCGAAGAAATAGTTGTAGGTACAAATGGATATTTACCAGACAAAGTTGATAACCAGACTGATGCAACTGTTTACTTTGAACAGAATTTAGAGGACAGTAAAATATCTATTAAATATGAGGAAATAAGTTCTGCTCCGTTAACAGAGAATTTGATTTCTGAGAACTGGGAGTGTGAAGATGTCGGCGCAGCATCTCCTTTAAAGGTAGATTTTATACAAAGAACTGGTTATTTAGTTTATTTGACTTATAGTTTATTTTCTTCTTCCTCTTGTTTTATTTTATTGTGTCATTTTATCACAGTTAATTATTTTAATTGTGGCATTTATGTAACAGCTACTGTTAAATGTATTACAGGAAAACGAGCTCGATGGCGAAGAAGATGAGGAGACGATTGCCACTTTTATCACTGCTAAGGGTGAACAATTGGCTCTCTATGCTGTAGAGAATTTTGATGAAATGTTTGCAGTTGCTGTTTACGATGAATCTGGCAAGCCACCAAACGATTTTCAGTTTCTCACCAAGTGAGTCTGCCAGAGAAACAAAAGCTTGCTTAATTTTACATTAAAAAATTCATTTTTAATAAAAATTTAATTATAACTTTATAATTACACTTCATATTTTAAATTTCTTATTTAATTTTTGTAAGTTTATTCGTAACAAAAGTTACGATGAGAACATGTTTGTAGAACGGACGTTGAACGGCTGATAAACGAAGGAGCCGTGCAAACAGTGAAAAAGCCGACACAAATGAAGAGACGACTGGTGACCACTCAGCCGCAGCTGTTTTATCACAAGGAAGATTTTGAGGGGTTGAGCGAGCAGGCGGAGGACAAAGCGTCAATTCTCAACACAATTGACAGCGAGAAGAGCGCTAGACAGGAAGAAAACTGCACGATAGAACAAGATTATCAATCGCATCAGAACTTCAACTCTCTCGAAATTAATTCCACATCCAACGATCTTCTTTACAGCACCGCCGATACGCAGTCGAACATCACGTATCTCATGATGGATGACGATTCTGCGAATATTGGTATATATTATCTTTTACACATAAATATATAAATCTTAATAAATGTATTTTTTTCAGCTGATGTAGGCGATGGAGAAAATCGTGAATTGAATGAGAGCGAAGACAATCGCGTATCTGAGAGCGAACTGATGGAGCAATCGACCGTACAATATATCTTTTTCGAGGACGAGCAGCAGTCGGACTCGGAGCTGACGTTTGACGAGATCCAGACGACGTTGCAGAATCTAAAGACTTCACGCGAGAAGGTGTCGGAAAAGGAAAAATCCGAGCAGGACATCCATTCATCAGACACTATCAAGCAAGACGCAATTTTGCATGATTCTACGCCGCTGAAATCGTTGAACAAGAACTTTTCCTCCGTCATTGTCTTCTGTGACCAACAATTTGACGCGCGTTTCCGCCACAGACGATAAATTCGAGAACGAGCGGCAACGACTGATCGACACATTAACCGATTCACCGCCGCCGCCGCCACTGCCGTCGTCGTCGTCGTCGTCGTTGACGTCGTTGTCGTCCACTCTACAGCTGAAAGTCAAGCGGTCGCGTAAGCAGCAACTAATATTAGTGAATCGGGACGATGGCGAGATCATCTTCCAACCGCCGTTGCTGCAGAATGAGGACGAAATGATCGGCAAGAAACGCGGTAAACAGCGGCGCCGCACACCGTCTCAGATGCGAAGAGGATTTATAGACGCGAAGAGGATGAAGCGTACGAGGCAGCGAGAGGTGAATATACGTTACGCAGAAGCGATTAGCGAACTGGAGACGAATATGCTTTTGAAAATTTTAATCTCCAAACTTGTGAACTTATTTTTTTGAATCTGAATCTCTATTTATTCTTATATATTTATCTCATGTTTTAATCTATTTTTTTTAAATATTAAAATACCCGAATCGAAGAAAGATAAATGTCTGCAATTTGCGTTGACTTGTTAAATCAATGATAAAACAATTGATTTGCTTTCTTTTATTGAAACAATTTGTCGAAACTTTCGTGACAGGTGGAGGTGATCGAACTGGACGTCGACGAGGAGGAGCAGCAGGCGAAGCGCAATATAGTGGAGATCACTCTGGACGACAGCACGGACAAATATTCCAGTGATAAAGAAAACGATATCATCATGGTGAGGGACTCGGATTCCGATAACGGTGACGACGAAAGGGAAGAGGAAGAGGAGGACAGGCTGTCGTCGAAGCTGAGCCGCTTGATGCGATGCGAGCATTGCTCAAGGAACTTCCGACAGCGACGCGCTCTCGAGACACATCTCAGAGTATGCCAGAAGTCTCCAGAAAATGCTCTGAGGCTCAACGACGAAAAGGGCAAAGTGCAAATGGACAAGCAATACCCCTGCAAGATTTGTCAGGAAAAGTTTGACGTGGTGGTCGCGCTGGCGCGTCACGTTCGCGTGGCTCATTCGCTGAGGAAGAAACACAAATTACGCTTTGTCTCACCAAAGTACGAATCTTCACTATCTTTAGCCTTGACATATAAAAGTTTTCAATTTCAAAGGTTGAACATTAAGTTGCGCAAGAGTTGAACGTTTTAAGTATGAAATAAAAATTTGTAATCTAATTTTTAATCAATTTAATATCTCAGAATAATTTGATAGACTAATGTTTTTTATGCAGGACTCCAAACAAATCCTTAGGGTCAGTTCAGAAGGAGACGTCTTCGACGGAAGAGGAGGAACTGGCCCATCGCGGCGATACGGCAAAGAGGGAGCTCAGTATGCTTGCCAGGGTGAAGAGAAAACGAAGAAAGAGGAGCAATTATACGTGGGAGAAGAATAATCTCACTTGTACGGATTGCGGGAAATTGTTTCTTAGTACGACTCTGCTGAACGCGCACGTTTTGCAGCATGGTACCAAGAAATCCGGTATGTCTCGAATTTATTCTAATTGTTCATCGTTTTTCTAACCTTATTGTTTCGTTTACAGAGCAACGGTTGCGCAAGTGTCACATTTGCCAACAGCTCATCAGGTCTAAATTTTTGTTCTTACGGCACTTGAGGATGCACAGTGAAACGCAGTCCAGCTCTGATAATAATTTGAAGTTACTGCAGCGCAAGCTGCGAGCTCGGTCGAATCCTCACAAGATCGCGGTATCCCGAAAACGCGGTCGACCGAGGAAATTTTGATTTTTTCTTGCGCATAAGCGACATGTATAATATTGTACACATATTTCTTTTATCAAATGTATCTTATGTTTCTTTTTCCAAACGACTCAAAGTAAGTATTCGTAAAACGTCAATGTAAATAGTACGTTATACCATAAAGTTTACATTGTTTATTGTCCATTTTCGAAACTAACTTGTTAAAAACTCGGGGAAAAATTTAATGCAAATTAAACATGGATCTCTGTAAATAAGAGAAAATAATTCTATCAGCGATCCAGTTTGTATATATATCAATCGATTAAATATATTGATAACAGGACGCGACATTGTATACAGACATTGTGACATATTATCGATTGTGTATTTGCTTTTATTTTCTTGTCCACAGCAATAAAATGCAAATAAAAATAGCCTGATTTCACATCGTGTTAATATATTTTTCTTGCTGTTTTTCAGATGAAATAAATATATAAAGCGAGATGTTTAATTTTACGTCATTTAAATTACCTGTGTTTGTCTTTTTCGAAAATTGTTTGCTGATATTTCTAAGCGACTACATGCGCAAGTTATAAAATCAAAATTTACATTTTGTTATATTTAAAAATTGCAAAGAAGAAAACAATGGACATGTTTTCAAAATATAGAGTGCAACCTGTTAAGAATTAAAAGTAAAAAATTTTTAAAACAAAAACATTTATTATACGTATATTTAGATCATATTACACAGTTCGATCTTTTTACAATTATATCGATGGAAGCATAATAAATATCAAAATACAATAAGAAAACAAAATCAATCGATCTTTTATAAATACATTATTTAGAATATTTTGTTTTCGCAAGTAAATATACCCGTGTCATATTAGATTTTGATTACAATACAAAGCAAAATCAATCAATCTTTATGACTGATTTTTACGAATACATGATTTAGAATATTGCATTTTCAAGTAAATATACCTGTGTCATATTAGATTTTGATTACAATACAAAGCAAAATCAATCAATCTTTATGACTGATTTTTACGAATACATGATTTAGAATATTGTGTTTTCAAGTGAATATATCTATGTCATACTAGATTTTGATTTACGCCAAGCTAGTCTATCTTCGTAAAATTGAACGACGATGTCAGGACACTTTACATTAGCCTCTTTAGCAAATACCAAGTCAACCACATCCGTTCCTTTCCTGTACAAACAAGATCATCTTTAGTTAAAAAGCTCTAAAGCTTTTTTTTTTTTAATTAAAGTGGTTCAGACATATCAGTTAACTATCAATTATTTATAGGTGAATAATAAGCAGGGATATCTTGGCACCACCCACCATTGCATTAAATACATAAGCTCTCCATTATCGTCAGCGGAACCCAGGATTCTCTCTGCTTCTAATCCTCTTTTAAATCCACATGTTTTGCTGTTGTCTTCTGTCGCCTTCTTCTTGTTATTCATTTTAAAAGGATTAATATAATCTTCTTTTATGTCACTGTCTTTGTACACTGATTTCTCAATTTTATTCCTACATATATCAGAAATAAATAACATTAAGGGAGTTGGAGATTTAATTTATACAAAAAAGTATTAAATTCTGAAAGAATAAAATATTAACAGTTTAAAAAATATATTTAAAAACATGTATGTTACCTGAAGTGCTGTGGCGCTTGTTATTTCTCCGGTTACAGAACGCCGATAAAATTATTTCTGCATATTTTTAGATTATAATATACAATATTATTATTATCACGCATGTCTGCTACGAGCTTAATAAGACTAGAACACATTATATACATGACACTGTCAACGAACTTGATTTAGAACCAAGCTTGTATACTTCTTTATTCACAATAATAAACACTCGTTTAGGTTAAATAGGAGCATAGCTAATCGGAGCAATCTTTATGAAGGATTTCACACCGCGGTGTAAAACGTACAGTCCAATAAAGAAATTTCTCTCCTAGGGATAAAAATGTGATTGGCAACAGTTCGTAGAAAATGCGCTGTTCTATTGGATGCCGGTGCGTGCGTTAAAATTACATGCAGTGTGAACTTGGTATAAACAATTAGCTATATTCGCGCCGATCCGCTACACGGGCGCAAAAAAAAATTGGAGCTTTCCCCCCCACTGACGGATCGTGGACGCTGTATCGACGCGTATGTGACGGGAGGCTGGCGAGAGTGCGTGTGGTGTGGCGTGGCCGAGACGATGTCGGTGCTCCGGCTCCGCGGCCGCGATATTTCCATGGAAACGTAGAC